TTCTCCATTTTCCCATTTTTTAAAATATAATGGTATTTCAAAGAGCAGTACAATTGTTGAATATATTCTTTGACGGCTCGAGCTTGTTTTCTTTATGTCTGTGTTTAATTAACTTTGCTGAATTCTAGGCTCAAATAAGATATTAATTCCATATTTCTGGAATGTAATTCACCACTCCATTTACAACTTTTTATTTCCCAAGGAGAAATACAACTTCAGTGTTTTATTATATATGATTACCTGATGCTAAATGTATCCCTTAACAGGGCTAGATACAGTGAGTCAGAGCACTATTAAATCTTCTACCTGTCCCCTCCAAACTGATAGCCATTCTTCTTAAACATTATTTGGGGGAAGGCAATAGACACAGAACAACACCTTCAGATGAAATTACTTCATCCTTTGCTCATAAAAAGTATATTTAACATCTCTTAAAACTTGTTTCACACAATACATACACACAATACCTGTGAAGCTGTTGGAGCATCTGAACCATGTTGTTCATACTGTCAGGGAAAAAAATCTAAGTTACATTCAAAACTTAAATTCTTAAATAATTATTACTAACCAATTGATTCATTGTATTAATTGGCCCAGAAGTTCCAATAAAACATTTCTGTGACCTTCAAATTAGATTTACTTTACAATATCGGTTTCTCATGTAAATCTAGCTGAAAGTTTAACTGCTTTCTAATTCATGCCCAGTTATGCCTAGCTGGAGGAATCAGACTTTGTTCATTATAAATTGACAGAATTTCAGACAGGTTTACTCTTAAATGAGCCCTAAAAGAGTAATAATAGCTTTTAAAATTCATTACACATCAATATAGAAGTTAAAATAAAAGCCAAATGATAAAGCTGAAAATCTGGTGAATGTAATTCATCATTCTCATATGAATTCTCTTTAGCCAGAAAAGATTGGGAATTTATTCTGACATTAAAAAAATCTTTAATACTTTATCAATCTGTGCCAAATTTAAATCATACTTAAATCTTTTCTAAAAACTATTGTTTTTTTTAAAAAGTGAATAAATAAATAAAAACTACAGATATATGTCTATAAATTGACAGAGTAATTACTAAGATTGTACAGTTAGTAATCAGAGTATTTAGATATTAATCATCTAAAACTAAATTATTTTAACAATGTGTACGTATTTAAAACTCTGAGCTAAGTGCTTGAATTCTTCACTATTGTTTAAAAATGTAAAAAGAAAAAATCCATTGAAAAAATATAGATAAATATTATTCCATCTCCTCATAATTCAGAACAGTCTAGAGGCTCAAAGATAATTTTAACCAATGATTTAATCCAAATTTAAGCAATGGTTTAAATCCATATAAGTATTTAGGCAATTTTAATTCAAAATTTTGAGGTATTTGAGGGAAATATAAAGTGTAAAATCCACTTATTGATGGTAAGTTACAATAAAAGAGAATATATGTAGCTCAAGGCTGAATTGTGGATTGTTGATACTCTCTGAGCTCAGAGAGCACCAAGGACCCCATAATCTGAGGGTATTTATAATCCCAGTGGAAGCAAATTATATTTCTTCCAATTAATGGTATATCCTAAATATTATTGTACAATTTCACTACTTGGTTACTATACTGTATACTGTATTTGTGTTTTTGTGCAAGGAAGAGAATTACAAGTCAAAATAGATGAGGAATTGGTAGGGAAATACGTATTTGTTTTGCATGAATTTAAATCCTTGGGACTGATGGTTTGCATTCTAGAATGCTAAAGTAATTGATGGATATGATCATAGAACCACTGGCTGTAATCTTTGAAAATCCATGGGAACAATTATGTGCCAAAGAAGGTATAATAACTATTTTTGAAAAGGAAGAAAAAGTAGGAGCTAGGAAACTATAGACTAATTCTCTTGAGATCAGTAGCTGGAAAAATTCTGGAAAAGAGTAACAAGGGAACAAAGTGATTGCTAGAAGCCAGCGTAATTAGCAGATCATTGGAGGTCCATTACCAGAAATAAAATATTTAGGGAAGTACTATGGAAGAGATCAGAAAAAATGTGAACATGGAAGATAATAATAGAACAGTAGAACAAAATAATAGTAGAACAGTAGGTGAAACTCAGATAATAATTGGGCATAAGGAAACAGCTTATATGAACAACAAAAATGATAATTTAGAAGAAATAAAAACAGAAAAGATCCAGCACTGAAACAATCTATGAATTGACCCTCTGTCAAGGGCTTTGCCTAGATCTGGCATGGCCTGTCCTGATTCTATTCAGGTGGCTCCATATTTTTCGGAGCAACTTGGAAGTGATTTTGTTTGATCTGTATGATTTGTTTGGTTATGGTTATTAAAGGTTGCCCATTTTAATTGCCAATTCTTCATCTAAATTGTAAATCTCTGGTATGTTATCCCAGATTTGTTTCCTAGATTTAAGCCTGGTGCAAGTTAGTTTAATATTTTGCGTATCAGTAAATATCTAGGAACTGTTAGCCTGTTTATCTTATTCCCCTCTTAAACTGTTTGTTGTTGTCATCTAAAATCAAGAGGGAAAGAAAAAAAAACTTGGATCCATGCAGATTTCAGTGGATTTAAGAATTCCAGATACTATTCTCACTGGGTTATTAAGATGAAAATCAGTCTTGTTGGTATGACATCTTGTTCCCCATACAGGTGCCCAGTGTTCAGTGACAGAGTATACAAACGATCATGTCACCATACATAGTGTCTTTGCTTGAACTCCCCAGCCTGTTCCTGCAATTTTCTTAATCAAATTATTCCTGGTTTTCAATTTTTGTTTGATTACTTCAAGGTGTTTTTCAAATATGAGGGATCAGTCAAAGATTATTCCAAGATATTCCAGTTGTATTTTATCCTCTTGCCATAGCAATATACATTTAACTTTTTCTTTGCTGTTGCTTAGATGGAATTGCTTAGATAGAAGGCACATACTTTGATTTTATTTATGTTAGGGCACAATCCCCAGTTTTCACAATATTGGCTTAGGGTTTTAATGTAAGGATTAAAATAGCATCTATCCAAAAGACCAAGACCAAACAATAATTAGGAAAATTGAACCCAATGAGGCATATTATCCAGTTCATGTGTGGACAGCTATTTCAGTAAGACCAGAGAAGATTACAGGTAGTCCTTGACTTACAACAGTTCACTTAGGGACTATTCCAAATTACAACGGCACTGAAAAAAGTGACTTAAGACCATTTTTTACACATCATTGCAACATCCCCATGGTCACATGATTCACATTTGGATGCTTGACAACTGACTCATGATGGTTGCAGCATCCCTGGATCATATGATCACCTTTTGCAACCTTCTGACAAGCAAAGCCAGTGGGCAAACCAGATTCACTTAACAACCATGTTACTAATTTAACAACTGCAGTGATTCACTTAACAAACGTGGCAAGAAAAGTCATAAAATGGGGCAAAATTCTCTTAACAATTTTCTCACTTAGCAATGTAAATTTTGGGCTCAATTGTGCCCAAAATTAACAGGAGCCATTAGAATGAAACCTACAGGTATCTAGACATTTTAAACTTGGATTATATCAAACACTGATAAGTTAAAAATGTGACTAGTTAAAGAATAAATCCAAAGAGAGAAATATTTATTAAAGACAAAATTAGATAGTGATAAGCTATTATTACCTGGGCCATGGCTGTTTTACGTTACTGGCAGTGCTTTCAGTCTATTCTGGTAAATCATGGAAGACATTCTTTCATTAGAAATTGTAGTTGTTTACTCCAGTCTAAAGTTAACTTTATAGTTGAGAAACTAGACTACTTTATATAGGAAAGTCATGGTAGAACATTTCTGAGATAAAAGCCCTTTTGTTAGAATGTTATTTATTATTTGCATTGCTTCTTGTTTCTGACTAAATTTTTGGTTTTTGTTTAAATAATCTATACATAATTCAGGATGGAATAGGTTCCTTCAAGCTATTATCCCAGTTCTGTCTTTTCCCTGATTGCACCTGCCCCTTTTTATCTGTTAGACCTCAATCAGAAACTCTATATGAAAAATAGCGGCTTTTCTCTCAATCACTACAACATCATTGTTTAACACTTGGGATAATTTGCTAAAGTTTCATGTTAACTACCACGAAATCTCATTCCTTCTCTTATTAGTTGTATTTGAGGTAGAATTGGGGAAAAAAAACTAATCAGGTTGTACAAACTTAATAATTTGTAGTGAATTTCATATACTGTATAAAGAGGGATATGGAAAAAGAAGGGAGGTAAGCTGCAGGAAGAAAGAACTCTTAGTTCCAACTCATGCAAAACACAGATGTAACAAGCTTACCATTAATAACTAAATAAATATGAACATTGTATTGTAATTAAATGTTTTACCAGCAATCTGTCATCTGAATTGCTAACTCTTTTCTATTCAGAACCTTTCTCCCCTATTCTTGGTAAAGGAGAAAAAATAATAATAATTCCTTAGTAATTATAAAGGAACACAGGATTTTTTTCTATACTGTAAAGCAGAGCCCAGTATTCTTGAGAAAAGAGTTTCATTCCTCTTTATTTATTCTTGTTCAACAAATTTCTTCCGTTTACACTCTGGGATACAGAGTATGTATTTTAGGTAGGAACTTGAAAATTAGTCAGATTTTCTGAGAATGGCATTTTTTTCACCTGAGGTTGCCATCAGTATGAAAGTTTCGATATATAAACTAGTCATAGCTTGTTTTTAAGAGTTAAAATTAAAACATTACTCTTTTAGCTTTATAACAAATCTAATGTTTATTACTTGTTCTATATTAATCTTTAATTGTTTTAAAATGTTTGTACCTTTGTATTGTTGCAGTGGAATTTGTTCCTTATTTTCATACATAAAATAGTCATATCTTGTTTTAACTGTAAAAATTAAAACATTACTCTTTATAACAATTAAAATGTCATTGATTTGTTTCATAATAATATTTAATCCTTTATTAAATATTAGTGACTTCATACTCTTATAATGGAATTTTGTTTTTTATTTTCAGCATCTGGCGTGGACCAAATATAAATTGCACAGATAGTTCAGGATACACTGCTTTACATCATGCAGCTTTGAATGGTCACAAGTAAGTGCTATATTACTATTATGTTGGAATTAGTTTGTATCGCATGTTTGTATTGATGCTAGGCTGCATAAAATCATCATGTTTTTGTGTTTATGTTGATTTTAGCAGAATACTTATGCCAGTTGCAGCTGAAGAAACCTACTGTAGCAAGATCCAATCCAATGATTAATGAAGTTCTATATAGTGGCTTTTTAATGAACAACATACAAATAACATATAGATATGAACTAAGATTGTTGAATCAGTAAGTTTTTAGATTTTAAACTTACATTTTTTATAACTGACAGGATAGAACCTCTTTGAAACAAAATAAATTTCTAATTTATTTTAAATAATAGTAAAAAGTCTTATTTCTAAAAAAAATTATTTCAATAATCTTCAATCTTACATTGACATTTTTATATAACCTTCTGCAGTGGATAATGGATTTGTGAGGGCCATTCTTCAACCTGATGGATGGATTGTACTAGTATGAAAGTGGAGAAATATGATATTGTTTTATGATTTCTGGAATTCTGGGTGCTTCCCATTAGCTCTTGATACCATTAAGTGTTTGCTGTCCTGGACTAATTTTTTAAAATATATTTCAACTTGATTATTTTGTGATGATTGTTGCTTTGGATGGGTGAGTATTAGGTTTCAACAGCGAGTGTTAGGTGATCAGTGCCTTCCTTATGTCTTCCTGAAGTACTTCTGGTCTTTTTTCATTGTATCTGTGGATTTGCAAATATACTAGAATTGTAAAAGCTTCTTTCACCCTATATATTTTATTATGCACTAACAGCATAAGTGGGAACATTGTCTTGTTCATTAGTTGATGTGATTAGTTGTCTTAGAATTTCATTACTATTTTCAAGCCCTCAGCAATTGCTCAGAATCAAGAAAGGTAGCTTTTCAGTGTCTTATTAACCTAGTTAATTGAAATAAAAAATAGGCTTTATTTTACAGGTGACCTCACACATTTATAGTAGAATTCTATTTATCTCTAAATTCATTACAATAGGGATGCCTCAGTCTTTTTGCTAATCATGTGTTGAAACTGCTGGATTTTATTTTCTTTTGATAAAAAAAGAATGTGCAGATGTCCCAAACTTGTAATATTTCCCAAACTTCCATCCTATTTCCAATCATTATTACTATTTGTTGTCCTTCCATATTTTCCTGTTGTTTTCTCCTTTGTTATGCTTTTTTTCTCATGCTAAGTTTGCATCTGATCCTTACTTGCTTCTGGTTTATAGGCCAAAGGGTTCTACTTTAGGAGTTTTCCAATTCCAGGAACATTCTATGAACATTAGCAGATTTAAACTTGATACTCTTTCCATAAATATATCCTCTTACTTGACAGCAATTTTTGTAAGGAAACCAGTTCAGTGGGTGATAAGGTGGCTAAACAAGTAGGACATTGTGTCTTCAGGGCACAATCTACCGATACTCAAAACTGGTGACTTTCCTGCCTGGCTATAATTGTATATGACTTTGGAATTGAGGAGATTTTTCAGGTGTCCAGCCTTGTACATTTAACTATTCTATCACAGCCTTTGCTTTCAGCTCAATTATGAATTTCAACTTTGGTCACCTTTCTGGTACTATCTTCAGTATTAGTAATGCAACATAAGTTGTTTGGCTGACTTACAACACTGCAGAGAAACCAATTCATTTGTCTGTCTTGTAGCCTGAAAGCAAGACTATTTCATTATTCTTCTGTAGTGCTTAATAGTGAAGTAGAACAAAACAAAAGGAAACAAATTGCATATAAACATGTGTACTAGGAATAGACATTTTCTTAATGTCAACATTTTCAGCACTGACAACTTTAATTCCTCTTATAGCAGCATTTAAACTGAAATTCTTTTGTCAATAGTCCAACTCCATAGGTTTCATTTCAGTTCTCTTCATTAATTCCAGTGTTTGATAGGATTTTTCCAGTCCTTGAACTTTCACATTTGAATGACAGTCAGCCTGTGAAGGAGAATTTTTTTAAAAAAATTGATTGCTTAGTATTTGCCATTCATTTTTATAGTCTTGACTTGCTCACTCCATTTGATAGCTCATTCTAATGTTTTGGGGGGATTAGAGATTATACCCAGATTTGTTATACTTCCCTAGAAGTATTATTTAGATTACCTAGATTCTAAATTTGGGGTGGGGTGGCGTGAGGGCAACATAGCAGGGACAAATGCAACTTTGCTTTTGTTGCTCTACTTCTCAGAGCTGCTTTTCTCATTCTCCTTCTCAGAGCTGGGGCTGAAGTTCTGCAGGCATTGAGAATTGAAGAGATACTGTCCTAGAGAGTACTATGAGTCCTTTTCAAGATGTAGGTAAGGCTGGTAAAAGTTGTCATGATTGTGCTGACATTCAGCCATAGACATAAGGTGGTTTCACCTTTATCCAGACTGTTAGCATAGAGCACTTTGATCAATCAATTATCTTTGTACTTGTCTCCAAAGGAGTTTACCCAGGAACTGTTACTGATGTTTCATAATGAGATCTGTTATTTAATATTTTGCCATGGTAAATTGCTGATAGCAAGTTCTGCAATTTGGAGAAAATGAACAGACAAATGAGCTGAAAGTAAACATGTTCACTCCAAAATGAATCTCTGAAAATGGTGAGATCACCACCAGCATCTCCCCGGATTAGGTCTTTCCTAAAATTTACTTTGGAGAACATTTTAAATCTTATATAGTTAACCTGATTTATGATAACTGTAATTAACTAAATTTATAATCTAGATTTAGTTCTCTGCTGCTAAAAGATAATGTTAACAATACACTCCAGAACAGGTGCTTAACCTTAAAACCTGCTTAGGGCAGATTGATCACAGATTTGAGTTAAATTATATGAAGAGTGCCTAAGCTTCTTGCCAGAAAATGAACAAGAGAAAACATAATTGTTCTGAGAGAATCTGATGTCCCAAACAGGTTTTATACTTAAGGGCGCATATAGATATGCCTATATCTATATGGAAGTGGAAGACAATAACTCTGGATTGGTGATTCCAGCAATGTTGGATTCCATTCTGGCTCAGACAAATCCAGCAAACCCTAAGGAATCCTTGCCTACCCCTATAGCCTGCTTCTAGATTCTGCAGTTCAGCAACCCAGTCTTAAGTAGAAGTGGATGATAAAGATCCAGTAGCACAGATTGAATTCCATAGGTAAGAGGCTTGACAAAGAGAAGGTCAAAAGTAGAGCAAACTCTAATGAGGTTGTAGCTTATCTGTACATTTGGGTGTTGGCTTGGCATTGCTGATTTATTGGCTTCAGTCCTTGGGAGACAATGCAAAGAACAACTTTCCAAGTCTCAGATTTATTGGGTTTATCTTGTTGTGCTATGCTTGGAAATCTTGATTCCATTCTATCCTGTTTCCTGTCTCTCCCCTCAGATTTGTTGCTTGATTATTCAGTTTCTTGTCTTAATCTATACTAAATCTGTTGACTACATTTACGGTTGCTGTTCTAAGATACTGGTAAAGAGGACTTTTTGCTTCCAAAAGATTGTTTTGCCTGAGTTCCTTTATTGCTCAATTGTGGCAATAATCCAGCCTGCTAGCTTGTTGGCTGGCAGCCATCAAGACCAGCATAGAAAAGTAGGTTAAATGTGTTTAAAATGTGAGTAGGTGTAAATTCCTACTCAAATAGTAACTGTCACTGCCTGGAATAGAATGGAAAAGAAGAGACTTCTCATTAAGTTCTGCCACCTCTTTCCTTGCACATTGAAACTATATCTAGGGGCTGCCATTGTCAATCTACTGTGATCTTTCTTATCTCCTTTGGAGAATGCCTTTTTATTTTGTTTATATGTATCATAATATTATGTGGAACAGTTTCTTCCTAAATAATGGATATACTGTAAAGTTCACTTCAATTTTTCCTGCCAGTACATTTTGTTCTGGAATCTGGTATTTTATTTCTTTTTCAGGAATAAGCAATATAGTACAATTAATTCCATCAGGTGGTAGGCCTGGACCATTTGAATTCTAGCTACTTAACTATCCTAAAGAGGTTCAGTGGTTTGTATCTTATCCTGGCTATAAGGGACATGAACATTTTCCTATTTACATAAACATTGCACAGTTCAGCAAGCAATTTAGATGTATGTAGTATTATTTATATAGGTAACACTAAAAGATATTAACTTTTATTTACTTACTAAGCGGTGCCAAATATATTCCCTGTAGGTTTTTTTATTTGTTTCGTGGCAGTCCATCAGAATATATTAAAAACTATTAGTTTCTATTTCCTGGAGAACCCTGCATTTTGTCAGTTGTGTTTGTTTTATACCAATATCACACGAATGCACAGAACTAATTTCAATCAAGATTCTCAGCAAGGCATTATTTTTAGTCAACTTTCCTGTTCCTTCTGGATCAGACTGTTCTTATCTTTTCTGGCTTCCTTTTCAGCCATTGAATCTGCTCAGAGCTATCCATTTATTGCTCAGCAGTCCTCCTCCTTAAGCTTTACCCATATAATATTTTCTTGAATTTGTGAAGCATGGGAAAATCAGAAGTCGAAACAGTTCAAATGAATATATTATTTATTGCTGTTTACAAGTATCTGAACTAGTAATGGTTAAAGCAAATTGGAGTAGATGAGAGTTAATGGAATTCAAGGTGGGATGGGCTTAGATCTCTTGGGGCATGAAGGGATTCAAGAATGATGATGTGTTTGATGCCTCCCTCAGGCCGAACCTGCTCATCTCCTACAGAATTATTGTAAATTATTGTGAATTGTTGAATGATTGTGAAAGTAACATCCTTGTCAGAAATCTTGCCATTCATAATAATGCAGTCTTGCAGACTCCAATCTTTTCAGTAGCCATTCCCATGAGGAAGAAATGTTCTTGTCACGTACCCAGTTTACCACAGACCATTGCTTTGCTGAAAACAGAAAAGCTAATGCTGTTTTAGAATTACAAGCAAAATGCCACAGAAATAACTGGATCAAGACTGATAAAAAACATGTTTACCATTTCTTTGCCGCCTCTGATTCAAGCTTTGAATCCCAGAAAAAGGAAGTGTCAAAGTGGAAGCAAACAAGATCCTTTACTTCAAAAGGATTTTATACAGGGGTGGGATTCAATTTTTTTAACAACCAGTTCTGTGGGCGTGGCTTAGGTGGTGGGCATGGCTTGGTGGTTATGTGACTGGGTGGACATGGCTTGGTGGTCATGTTATTGGCTGGGTGTGGCCAACTCAATATCACTCACATCAAGACATGCATCTCCTCACCTAGCTTCTCATGACTGTGGGGATGCTGCAACAGTTGTAAGTGTGAAAAATGATCATAAGTCACTTTTTTCAGTGCCATTGTAACTTTGAATGGTCACTCCACACAAGCAAAGTACAAGCAAAGGAGGGGAAAAAAGCTCCAGAGACGTTCCAGAGACAGGAAGTCTAGTCCTGCCAAGAATGTAATAAGGTTTAACGGAGATGCAGTGTCTGTTAGCAACACCAGAATGTTTCCTTTCTGCCTTCCTTACAGGATTAGGCCACTAATTTCTTCTAGCAACCGGGTTCTCAGAACTGCTTAGAATGTTAACAACCGGTTCTAGCGAATAGGTGCAAACCAGTAGAATCCCACTCCTGATTTATAGCTGTAGAAAAAGATACAGCATTCTAACCAGGAATTTGCACTAAATTTGTGATTTGTATTTATGTCATGCTGAAGTGTACAGGTTTTTTATCCATAAAGGTTGACTGAAACCATATTCAAAAAGGTATTCTTTTTGCCTCTAGGATATTCTTGATATCTATAATACTTTGTAATAGTCTTAGTAGAGAACATTTACTTTGTAGCAGACTAGTGCCATCTTGTGACCTACCTGGAACACTTCTTTTGGGGGGAAAATTTTGTTTTGCTAGTAGAAGAGCTAGTTTTGGTTACCTACTTGGGTAATGAAACATCTGCAAAAAAAGAAGCAAACTTGAATCTGTCTACTCAGTAAGAAAAAGGATTGCTACATTCCCCACATTTGGAAGTATGTCATCTACAATGATTCATTGCTTGAACCTTCTTAGAGTTGTCTTACATGTCTGAAACTATTTTCAGGTACAGGTGGTCATTGGTTAATGATTACTCATTCAGCAGTGGTTCAAACTTGCAATGGCACTTAAGAAATTATATTTATGACTGGTTCTCAGAGGCCCATCCATTGCAGCTTCCTTGCAGTCATTTGGCCAACATTTGCAACTTTCTTTGCAGGCTTCCAAGAAGCAAATAAGTGGGGAAGCTGACAGGAGGTCACATAATGACTGTGTGACATCCTCACTAATAGTCAATAGTGATTCACTTACTGGAAACTTTGAGTGCTGGAATTGCTGTTGCAAAATGATACAGTCATGTGATGTCATACTTTAAGGCCACATCACTTAGTGATGGCAATTCTAATGTCAATTGCCATTGTTAATCAAGGACTATTTGTATTTAGATCATATTCTTTGTGTTATGTTTTTGAACTACTGACTGTTCATGGCTGTTCAGGGAAACATTTGGGGATGCTTGAAGATTCTGCTACCAAACATTAACACATCAGGGACGCATATTATACATATAATTATTTTTATGTTTTAATTTTTGTTATTATCAACAAGCTGTTAATCTTCAGAAATTGAGTAACATATAACTTGAATGAATGGACTGTAGTGGCATCACTGGCTAAAGTAGAGGGGGTTCCTCTAGGGGGAGTAAAGAGACATTCTTGTTGGAATTGATTCAGGAGAGGTAATGTCTATGGTCAAGACAGATAGTTTTTGTAATATAAGTGATCTACAATAAAATATCTATATGGCCCTATTCACAAATAGTTCTGGCTGCAGGTATCTGACATGGATGGATTAATGGATGAATATTGATTTTTTTACTGACTTTCAGAAATAAAATTTGTTTTAATTATCATATTTTGTTTGCAATGTACTCTCTTTTGGTACATGCAATCTTTTTATCTCTACTGCTCATATTAAATATTTTCAAAATATAACTTAATAGGGAATCTAATATAGGTCTTGAAGGGTACTGGAAAAAAGATAGTGAAGAAAAATCTGGTACTTCAAAAGATCAAAGGAAGGAAATCAAAATGTGATTAGGGAATTAGGGTCTTGAAAAAAAAGGTATATGCAACGAAGAAGTAGAATTGGAATATCAGGATTGAATCATATGTCGCTTGTCAGCATGCAATAACTGTCAAGTATCAACAATTGTACCAAAAAAGAGTATAAGAGATAAAACTAGTTTTCAGGGCCAGGGAAGTAGTGAGGAATGAAGAACAGGCCAGAATTTATTACCATTCCTGAACAATCAAACTATATACACCAAATCTGATGAAAATTATGTTGCTCAGGAGAGATTCACCAGGAGCAGGAACTTTTTCTGTAACCCTTCTTGACCAAGAAGATCCAGTGGCCAGCAATAACATAGGGAAATCATACATTCCTTCTATATGTGAGAACTTTGATACCCAGAATTCCCAGCAATTATTTATGGCAGGGGTCCCCAGCCCCCGTTCTGCAGTCAAGTACTGGTCCATGGCCTGTTGGGAACCAGTTTGCAAAAGTGGCAGGCACGTGCATGAAACCATCCCCCTTCCATCCTCCCATACTGCTGCCACCGCTGCCAGTCTGTGACCTGGAAAGGTTGGGGATGCCGGTTTTGGTGCCTAGTTATAAACAACTACTTGAAATTCAATGGTTCATAAAACAAAATGTCAATCTTAGCAATTCTTCGTAGCTGGAGGATAGCTCACAGAACTTATAAGAGTGACCTTTTTAAAAACTATTATATAATTGAAGGAAGATAGGAGTTTCAAAATCTTTAGCTATGAACTTCTAGCATGAAACATTTCTGTAATTCCTGTGATTTATATTTGTTTTGTAATATGATATTTAACTATTAACTACCAACTTCCAAATTAAAGCATGTCTCAAGAGAGTAAAACTTGTATGAATATACTGTATAATTCCTAATCTCTTATTCAGTGATGATTTAAAGAGTATGATGATTATAATCATTATAGTCATTTCTAAATTTCTTAAACACATCTGCTTCCTGCTTCTTAGCATTGATGACAGTGTCATAAGAATAATTTTGTGGTTGTTTTGGTATATTTTGTCGGTATATGCTATAAATTCACAGTTTTGTAAAGGAATCTGTCAATCCTTAGTGCATTTTTAAAATATTTTTCAGGGATGTAGTTATCAAATTACTTCAATATGAAGCATCCACTAATGTGGCAGATAATAAAGGGTATTTTCCTATACACTTGGCTGCTTGGAAAGGAGATGTAGAGATTGTGAAGATTCTTATCCATCATGGGCCATCACATTCCAGAGTGAATGAACAGGTGATATTATTAAATGTATTTGTTTATATCTTCAGCAAACACAAGTAAGTATCCTTTTGTTCTTACAGAAATATGACTGGATTCAAATGAAGTTCCTTCACGACAAAACATTATTTATCTGGGTAAGGGTTATATGGATGAGAGGTTTTATACAATATAGAACAAGTTTGCAAACATCTGACATCAAAATAGATTTTTTTTTTGGTAATTACTATGATATTGTATTTAGTTCAGTCTTTTTTAACAGATCTATATTTCATCATTGAGATAATAAAAATAATATTTGGAACAAGTGCTACTGATTTTTATAGGTTGGTTGGGCTACAGAGAAGCATTGTAATTCCGTGCTGTAAATGAATAGCAAAATTCTATTGTTATGTTAACAGTTTTGTATCGTAAAATCAAAAGAGACTGAAGTCATATTAAGAGTAGGTCTATTTAAATTAACACTGGCATGTTTTTGTAAATAGTTTTATCAAAAATTTTAAAAACTGAGAACATGTAACAACTTTACTATCTTTAAAGATTTGTAAGCTCTGCAAAATGCTAATGTCCCCCAACCATCTTATATACAACAATATTGGTTATTAAATACTCTGGTAGCATTTCATAAAATGAGATAAGATGTGTGTACTATTCAAATCTACATTAATTTGATTAGAATTTATTTGAATGGTTGCTTATTTCATCTAAATGACACCGGGCAACTAACAATAGATCAAAACAATCCAATAAAATAAATTAAGAACCAATATAAAAACAGATATAAAAACTATCTACAATCAATTAAAAAAACCACGATCAGCAGTATGAGCTATTCTATTAGAGTGCAGCAGATATAATCCTACTACCACTTCCATGTAGTCCCTTAGAGTGATATTAAAACAACAGAAATTCTTACTGGCTTTTCTCTCTTTCAAAACTCTCAGTATTATCAGACAATGTGTTCTAGAAATGTATACCATTGGCATTACAGTACTGTTTTCTAAAGAGTTTGTGTCTAGAAAATATTATAGGCATAATAGGATGGCAAAGGGTAAGCTGTTAGTACTTTAAACTGATGGAGGTAAAAGACTTAAGTTTTTTGCATCTGTGCCTATTACTGTATAAGACCATTAAGAGGCAAGGAAACTGTTCTAATCATCCTTCTTCCTTTCTACTAAAATATATTTAGGAAAAGCTCAAAAAAATAAACATACTGTAAATCTGATGAATCTGGAGAACTTTTCAAGTATATTTAATATAAATGAAATTTACAAAATGGAAAGTTTGAGTATTTGGCTTGTTTGTCAGATTTCTAGTTGAAAAGATGTAGAATGTGTCACCTGTTTAAACAAACTTTTATTTCATTGTTAAATTGAAAAAAAGGGATTCAGAATACTATTTTTACATATTTCCTGTAGTTTTGGTGTAAGATCATCTAATGTAAAGTTTCAGAATGTTGAATATAACATTTATTCCCAGGAATTGTAGCCATAGAATGTAGTAGCTGCTTTTTTATAGGCATGTGAAAAAGAAAAAAATATATGAAAAAAGTAACTGTATCTGAAATTATAGTTTACCTTTGGTTGCTTTTTTAAAAAATCAGATTGCTAAATTGCAAGTACTGGACAAATTATAAATTAAAATCAGGAAACGAGTGATAAGTGTTATTTACAACAAGGAATTTAATGTTAGAACAAAGAAATAACAGTATATTTATAAACAATCATTGGGCAGGCAACTGTGATGTTTACTAGGCAAATTGTTTCAGTATAAGTAAACAACTATGTGAATCAGCAGAAAAAGATGTGTGAAGTATAGAAGGATTTTCTTGGTTTGTTATATATAAATGAGGGATCAGGTTTAAAAGTAAATTTGTTACACAAGTATTTGAACTTGACATTTTAAACAATTGCTTAGAAATTATGTTGAAATACAATTCCTGATTCACATATAACAAGCAATAACAATATGATCTGCTAATCATATCAGGATCTATTACTGTTCTGAAATATGGATGAAAAAAACAAGGTCCTTTTGTGTTGTATATTTTATTTAGTGTGTTTATATATTGCCAATATCATAAGGACTCACTGTATAAAACTAAATATAAAGCTATTAAAACTCTAAAATTAGTAATGCAACTTGATAGAAATGAGCCTAGCATCTATATTAACTGAGCATACCAATTCTTAAAAATAATAAATCTTGCTAAATTGAGAGATCTGTGTAAAAACTTGGTTCTTAGGCCTTTTAAAATATTATCCAGGAAGGTGCTGTCCAGTTTTCTGGGGACACGATATAACATAGGAATAGAATGGAATTTAAAAAACACCAAGCTCTTCTCCCCACTGCCATTTCACGGAAGGAGATATCTTCGGTGGTACTTTTTACAGTTTACATTTTATTTCTGAAATGTTTTGGAGATACGTGAAAATTATGACACATTTTAATATATCCATTGAAATAATTTTAGCACAGACATTATCTTAAGAACACAAGTATTCATAAACTATAAACTATATGATAAATAATAAACTGATATAAAGTTTTTGAAAATGCTTTAAAATCAAAACAGCAATAACCACAATTCAATAATAGGGGAACAGATATTTACAGAGAATAGTAGGACACATGCAGGCTGGAATGATTAACTCTCAAATTCAAGAATTTATATCTAGTCCAGAAAGACATTTTAGCAGCAATTGTATCTCTTGAGAGATGGCATTTCAAGTAGAAGTACCACATCTTGTTTATTATCTCAAATATAAAGAGAGGTAAGCAAGATCTTCAACTAAAATAAATTTAAGGTTTAAATTTATGTTTACTTGAGAAGACTTTTTACTCTTTTTAATAAATAAATATTAGTGCACAATTATATTCTGACCTTAAGCCTTTTATAATCCCATTGACATTTGTTTTATGTGAAGAATCACATAAACTAGGTTCATATTATAATAATCTTTAATGCATTACATATGGAAATTAGAGAAGTTTCAAAAACCGTTTCCTGTTTTCTATTCTTTTCTTGTCCTTTACGTGTCTTGCTCTATAAATCTGTTATTTTCTATCTTCCTTATTTCTGTGTTTCTTTCTTCTTGCTTTCTACTTTCCCTCCCTCTTCCTTTTTCTCTTAGGGTCAACTCAGCAGTTGCAGTAGAACTGCAATAGAGGGGTTTTATCAATGACATTGACAAAAGGTTGAAATTGACTAGACACTCTCAGTTTTAGTCAGTTTCAATCAGCACCTTGAGTCCCAGGTAAAGTTATCCTGAATTTTGCTGGAACATGCTCTTTGCAAGTATTTTTCATGTACATTGAATTGGGTAACATGTACTGTATAACCCATGCTCAATGTGTGCTTTTCCAAATACATATTTTATTCCTGTAATTTATATACATGAATTATTAAAATAACCATGTATGAGAAATTGAATACCTCATTGCATATTTAAATCAAGCATGCATGGCTTATAAAATATATTCATTATGCTTGTGGCTAAGACTGTTCTACTACATATTTTCTGGCAAAAGTCTATATTGCAAAAATATAATTAAATTGGGAAAGCCAATACTTCTATACAAACACAGTACTTTTTGTTACTTGTGTTAAATATAATATCTATTCAATGTAAACAATTGTAATAACACAGTCGAAATGATAGGACTAAAATAAAGTTTGTTAAGATACTAGTTGTCATGATTTGCAATTTTTAATATCTTTATATTGAAAAATGATTTAGAAGAAGAGTAAGAATTTGATATTGGTCTTAAGAGAATTGATGAAATTAAAGTATAACTTATTTTTAAAATACTTCTATAGATTAAAAGTATAAATCTGGATTGTTCTTTTCCTGAAAAATCATTGTATGCTGATCATTGTATGGATATTTGATTATATTTATAAGTGACCCCAACTCTACAGCTTTCCAACACTAAGAATTATTTCAACATATGTGAAACTGAAAATATAATACTTTTCATATCTCTATTTGTAAGTTCATGTTCTTAAAGAGACATGTTTAATTTTAAATTTGACAAGCAGAAATATTTATCTACTCATCTAGATTTTTTTAAAAATATTATTGTTACTAGTAATGCTCTGGAATCAAAGATGTTTCCGTTTGCTCTAAATATTAAGAAATATTTTTTTAAATTTGATATTCTAAAATAGAACTAGCATCAATAATGTACTATTTAAAGTAAATTACATCAGTTATTTAGGAAATGTATATAGCCACTTATATCACCAAAGTGGCTTTAGGCAGTGCACAGAAAATTAAAATCAAAAACAAAACAAAACAGTTAGAATTAAAAAAATATATTAGAAAAACAGTGACACAATACCATCCACAATCAAGAAAAATCCCTGCTTTGAATCACTAACACACCAATCAAACCAGACTTATTGAATCACCTGGAACAAATGCCTGTGGCTAAATCCAAGTTTTTGAACATCTTCCAAAAGGCCAACAGAATTGGGGCCATCCAGATCTTGGTGGTGGTGGGGAGATACTATTCCACAGGACAAGATCAATGATAAAGGAAATATGATTGCTAGGTACTACAAAACAAGGTCCTGGAGAATAACAACAATGCTGATTCTGATAATCAGAGACAGGCAGTCTTTGGAGAATAACAGCAATCCGATTCTTGCCATGTAGAGCTTTACAGGTGATAGCCAATACCTAAAGTTGTACATCACCTTGTATTGCACCTAGAACCTCAATGGAAGACAATGCAGCTCACAAAGCAGGGGTATTAAATTGGCATATCATGGAATGCCCCAAATCGTCAGCTGTTGTACTTTGAACTGCTTCCAGTTTTTCAAGGATAGAGTCATCTAGACTACATTAATGTAAAACCTACCAAGAAGTGCATAAGGCATTTATGACTGTAAATAGGGCATCCCAATCCAGAACTGGGCTCAATTGGTTCGCAAGGTGAACTTCTGTAAAGGCCTTTCTAGCCAGACTACATCTCCTCTTCAAGCAGGAATGGTGAGTCTGGGGAAACCCTCAAATTGTGCTCTAGCATAAAGATGGAACATCTGTAGATTTGAGGGTCAGGTGTATATCTTAAAACCCATAATCACTCAGTCTCATCAGCTGAACTGAAATCTGTTCTTCTCCATCCAGGCAAAGGCTTCTGGGCACTGATAGCATCATTTAGTCAGTTCAGGACAATAATATATACTTGAATATCATTGGTGTATTGTTGATATCTCATCCAGTTTTCATGGATGATCTCTGCAGGAGTTTCATGGAAATGTTAAATAGGAATAGGGAATGAACACAGCCACAAGGAACCTTGTGAAGCAGGGTATTCAGCCATGGAACTCTTCCCACCTACCTGAAGGAAGGAGAACTAGTGCAACAGCATCTTCTGAGCTGACTCAGAAGGATACCATGATTGATATTATCAAAGGCCTCTGAGAGACTTAGGGCCTTAGGGCCAAGATACATTACCTCTATCCTAAGTCTATCAAAGGTTGATCAATATTGTCTGATGCTATTACCAGGACTGAATCCTGATTGAAAGATGTGCAGCTAATTTGTTTCTTCCAGGACCACGTGGAGATACAAGACAACAAACTTCTCAACAACCATTGAGGAGATGGGCAACATATACATTCAATAAATAAAATAAAACTTGAAAAGGGAAAGTTGGAAATTGGATGAGAATTGTCCAGTTCAACAATGGCTTCTTTAAGAAAAAATGAATGATTGCCTCTTTCAAAGCATACCTTCCACAAAAAGGCATTCACTACCACATGGATTCAACCAATGTCACTTCCTGGGATGACTTGACTAGACAAGAGGAGTGTGCATCAGATTATTTAAACAAATATTGTAAGCAATATTGTACATTGACATGAGATGGAGAAATATATCCAATATTTATTTATTGGTTATTTAGTGTTTATTTACTTAATCAGTTAACAGAATAATAGAGTTGGAAGGGACTTTGGGGGTCTTCTAGAATCTAGACCAATCCCCTGCTCAAGCAGAAAACCCTATACCAGACAAATGATTGGCCAATCACTTCTTTAAAACCTCGAGTTTTGGGGCACTCACAACTTCTGGAGGTATTCCATTGATTATTCTAATTGTCAGGAAATTTCTCCTTAGTTCTGGGTTGGTTCTCTCCTTGATTAGTTTCCATCCATTGTTTCTTGTCTTGCCTTCAGGTGCTTCTAGTCCGTCTTTTTGTTAATACTGAGTTCCTGCCACAGATCTTCATATGTTTTAGGCTTCAGTCCCCTAATTATCTTTGTTGCTCTTCTCTACACTCTTTCTAGAGTCTCAATATCTTATTTATATTGTGGCAACCAAAATTGGATGCAATATTCCAAGTGTGGTCCTACCAAGGCATTATAAATTGATGTTAACACTTCACATGATCTTGATTCTATCTCTCTGTTAATGCAGCCGAGGACTGCGTTGGCATTTTTGGTAGCTTCAGGCTCATATTTAAGGGATTGTCCACTAGGACTCCAAGGGAGCTCTCATAATTACTACTATTGAGCCTGGTACCACCTATTCTATACCTGTGCATTTCGGGTTTTTTGCCTACATGTAGAACCTTTCTTTTCTCATCATTGATGAGAGTCTTCCTAAGTATAGATGTCAGGCTAATAGGTCTCCTGGATGCAATATTTTCCTTTTTTGAAGATGGGAAATATATCAGTCCTTTTCCAGTCATCTGGTAGTTTAATATATATTTTTAATGGGTTGGACTATTTTTTCCTTTTGTGTAAAGACAGATGCATAAAACAAGTTAAGCAGTTCTGCTTTCTCCTTGCTGCTCTTCACCTTCGTGCCATTTTCTCCCATTAATGGATCAATTATTACTTTTGTTTTTTAGATGATGAAAGAAGCTTTTATTTTTATTTTTCACTTTTGTCACAAACCTTAGTTCATTTTGAGCCTTAGCTTTCCTGACCAATTTTGCAAATTCAGGCTATTTGCTGATATGCTGCCTTAGTTATCTGCTCCTCTTTCCACTTTTTATTCTTGTCCTTTTTGTCTTTCAGCTCATCATGGAGTTCTTTGTGTAGCCATGCTGGTTTCTTTTGAGATCTCTTATTTTTCTTTTTCACTGGAATGTTAGATTGGACTTCCCTATTCTATCTTTTGAGAGACAAAGGTCTGCTAGGTTTGTCAGGAATCTCTTTGATCTTCCACAAATTGAAATGTTTGTCTCCCAATTGATGTCAGAGTAGCAAAAATCTATTTCTTCTGTTTGGTTGGATGGCCTGTAGTGTACACCTATGGCAATGTTATTTCCCCCCCCCTTTTATACTGATCCAAATACATTCAAGGCAGTTTTCATCATTGTTCTATTGTATTTCTATAGAGATGTAGTTATGTCTTATATACAATTAGTCCTCGATTTGCAGCAGTACATTTAGTGATGGTTTGAAATTACAACAGCACTAAAAAAGTGACTTATGACCATTTTTCACACTTACAACCATTGCAGCAACCTTATGGTTGTGTGATCAAAATTCAGACACTTAACAACTGATCCATATTTATGACGGTTGCAGTTTCCTGGGGTCATGTGATCACATTTTATGATCTTCTGACAAGCAATGCCAATGGGGAAGTTGGATTCACTTAGCAATCATGTAACTAACTAAACAACTGCAGTGATTCACAAATGTGGCAAGAAGGGTTGTAAAATGGGGGAAAACTAACTTAACAAATGACTCACTTAGCAACAGAAATTTTGGGTTCGATTGTGGTTGTAAGTCGAGGACTAGCTGTATAGCACAACTCTGCCTCCCTGCAACACTGCAACTCCCTGTAATACTGCATTCTATGCCACCAGGGCTCCTTTTTATACTTTTTAATTGATTTTTATTTGTAATATTTGTAAATTGTTATCTTGTGATGCAAGCTTTTATTGCCTGTTCTATAACTGTATCAGTATAAAATTTTGAAATGCAGTTTTATTCACACAAAAATATTTCTTTTTATAATATAAATATGAATTCTAATTAGTAGGAATGTAATGAATTCGAATGGGTAGGTGTGTAATTTAACGCATGCTATAATATGATGTCTGTTTTAAAAAGTATAAAAATATTTATAAAACATGAGTATAACTTATCTAATTAAGTAATATTTGCATGAGATTATACATTCTTGTGTTTTGGTTTTATGCAAATGTTTTCTTTGAAATAAAAATGAAGAATGGCTGTATTTATTTCTATATATTTCAATAGTAATCTGTAGGAATGAGATATATGAGGTACATGGACAATTCACATGAATGCATTTTAAATATACTTTAGATGGACTTGTCTGATATAATAGTTTGGTTTTACTTTAAAAATCCTGTTGTATAATAGAAAGCACTTCAGCTTATGATTGTATCTCCAATCCTTATTATCACTCAACAACTGGCATCCAAGGATTTGCAGTCTGTCGAGTATGAGTTTTTATGTACTTACAGAGAAAATTAGTGAATCTTTGTGTAAGCAAAGGGATTCTATTCATGCAAGGTAATTTTAAGATCCAAGCAATAGAAATAGGATTACTTTGAAGACAATCTTCAAAATTGTATAATTAAGCTTTCTATCAGTCAATGGGTATTGAATTGGTAGAAAAAATAGCTTTCAATATCAGACAATTAAACCACTGAAATTAATAATAAAATTAATATATTTTGTTTTGATTGTTTCATATACAAGTAGTCCTTAACTTATAGCCACTTGTTTAGTAACCATTTGAAGTTACAATAACATTGAAAAAAGTAACTTGTTTTTCACACTTACAACCATAAGAGCATCCTGATGGTCATATGATCAAAATTCAGACATTTGGCAACTGGCATGAATTTATGACAATTGCAGTGTCCAGTGGTCATGGGATTAACTTTTGTGACTTTCTTACAAGCAAATTCAATAGGAAGTGAGATTGACTGAACAACCATGTTATCAACATAATAACTATAATGATTCACTTAACAAGCATGGCAAGAAAGGTTGTAAAATAGGGCAAAACTCACTTAACAACTGTCTTGCTTAGCAACAGAAATTTTGGGTTCAGTTGTGTTCTTAAGTTGAGGACTTCCTTTATGCACAAATCCCTATCCTGATTGTACTAACTGAGAACATGAAGCAATGCTTTTGTTATGTTTTACCGTTTTTAATTTTACAGTTGAGACAGAATATATAAGAATAGTATTGGAAATAGTTAAGTACAATTTACATTTAAGCAAAATATGCAGATACATTTTCAAATGAGACTTCATATACAATCAAGATTTGTGTTCCTCTTTCTAATGAACAGATTGCATCATTTAGAGAACAAGAGAAATTGACGTAAAAGAACTAACTCATCTAAAGTCTATTAGCAAAACTAATGTTTTATTTGCTGCTAGATCTGCTCAGTGCATTAAAATCATGCCTCAAAAATGATTGAATTGTATTATAGTATTCTGGAGAAGGCATTTAATTTTTTTCTCTTTTAACAGAACAATGAAAATGAAACAGCTCTGCACTGTGCTGCCCAATATGGACACTCAGAAGTGGTTGCTATTTTGCTTGAAGAACTTACAGATCCCACAATAAGAAACAACAAATTAGAAACTCCACTGGATTTGGCAGCTTTATATGGCCGACTGCGGGTGGTGAAGATGATAATCAAGGCATATCCAAATCTGATGAGCTGTAACACAAGAAAGCATACTCCTTTACATCTTGCTGCACGTAATGGTCATAAAGCTGTGGTACAAGAGCTGCTAGAAGCTGGAATGGATGTCAGCTGCCAAGTTAGTAATGTTTTTAAAAACGTTGCACTATTTAAATAAAGGCAGGCAAATCATATAACCTTACAGTTTTACATTTAACACATTCATAATGGCAAATAATAAAGACAACTTATAACTTGTAGATTGGGCATAACAAATGGCTTCTGCCTCAACTAAATTACGTTTCCTAATATTTTTGGGGTGAGGAAAGCTCAGTAATATTTGAACCTCTGTAAAAAGCCGGCTTGTGACTCAAATCTGATTTAAGAAAGCACTATCCATCATTCTTTTAAAGCATCTACAACAGCCACCTGGTGCTAGATAATTAAAGTTTCACAACTGTACTAAAACTTGCTGTCCTGATTAATCATATTCCCAGCCATTTAGAAAAAGCTTTTAAAATTAATCTTTATGGTGACTTATTTCTCCCACAATATTGATAGGCCGGCCAGAATTTTATTAGCGATGAGAACTATTCTCTGTTGCAGTCATATGTAGCTCTATAGCATAAGACATTATTAGATTTTCTCTAGATTTTCTTTAGCCTTTTTCAAATTGTTCAGAACAAAAAAGAAGCAGATAGGCTTTGAATATATATGATGTTCTTTCTTTGTGATTCTGGCTCAGTTATAGTCAGCTTCCACGGAACAGAATTAGCTAGACTTGGCTGCCAAGGATTTCCTGCCAGTTATGACTAAAAATCTCTCCAAACCCTGAATCCTATATTCAAAATCTAGCTTCACAACGGGGGTAAAGAACACAACGTGGCTAGATAATAACTTACTTGCTTATGAAAAATGGCCTATTACAGTTCACAATAAAAGCATATGGGTGGGTTTGGTGGAGAAAAAGAGATATCTCAAAAGAAACTTTAAGTCCAGTGATTGAGCAATGATTGACCTGAACCGCTGGTCATGCAACATTATATTTCTAATGAAACAGTAATGGAATTTGCCTTTGTAAATGATTATGGCCATTGTTAAAAGTGAAACTGGTAAGACAGAAACCAGTGATTCAAAGGCTGGAGAGATTTTATGAGCATATATAGCTGTCAAATTGATACATTTGGTAGAAACTCATTTGATCTGTCTCACCAGAGCACATATGAACCATGTTTAATTTATTTAGATTAATTTTATGTAATCAGTTTATAAATTAAACTTTGTATCACTGTATAATTTAATCAATGAGAGCCTGAACAGCATATACAATTATTAAGCTGAAACTACTAACCTACAGAATTGGAGAATCTTCATAGATGAGATCTCTCGAGGTTAAGAAGCAAATTGAAGGATGCACCACCTATGCCAAGGGAGTGCATTCTATGGTGCAATACATCTCTTGGCTCACACTAATAACTAAGGACTTGGCCTAGAATGATGCAGAACTTCTAGATCAGTTCCAGGAATGATTCTTAAATACAATCTTGGATGACCTGGACTAGTCCTACCACATTATACAAGCTGATCCAATTTTGTGTAGGGATTCCTGGCTCTCTTGAAACACACAAGGTATAGCATATCCACACAGGTTCTGTCACCAAGTCTTAACAATAACCATAAGCAAGAATTGGAACTTGCCCCAATGAGCAAGGTAAAGGTGTCCCCGCAAGTTTTACTCTCTAGTTGTGACCTACTTTAAGGAGTAATACTCATCTCTTTTTTGTAAGCCAACTTTGTCTGGAGACGTTTCCATGATCATGTGGCCAACAAGAAATCATGCCACAGCGCAAAGCATAGGGCAAAAAAGAGAATGCTGTAACCTTTCATCTACTTGCATTTGAATGCTTTTGAAATGCTAGGTTAGCAGAAACTGAGACAAGTGACAGTAAGTCACTCTGTCTCATGGCACTTGGGTCTCAAACTGCTGAGCTATAGACCTTTAATAATCTAAGATTCAGTGAGTATCATGTAGCAAATGTAAAATCACCCATACAATTTAGTAGCAGTCACAGTCAACTAACTGAATCTGAGAAGAATCAACAGCATTAGATAAGTGTCAAATTCCAAATTGGTACACTAACAGTATACCCAAAAGTATTTCATGGGACATCAGGTGGGAAATAGCATCTTCCATGTCAGTCTGAGGCACTAAGTTCAAGGGTGAAATTCATAAACCTGAATAACTTCTAGATCCCAGTAGAGCTGAAAGTTCCATTATTGCCTGATCCAAATATATACAACCATTGGCTCTAGGGTATTTTGCTGCTTCATTAACATTGCCTTTATGGACCAGGGCATAGTCCTGTAATGTCAGTCAAGACTATTGATGGATGCTCCCTGTAACAGTGATCTTGCATAGGAGTTTCTGCTCTTGGTCACATCAGCTGTTGACTTCCAGCTTATCCTGAAGCTTCCATGGTTGACTCAATAATTTCCTTGTCTACAAGCACATTGGTGTTCTCTGTCAAATGATGCCAAAAACGTATGGAATCCTGTGGGCCACTCAAAGAAACCAGAGCCCCGTTGGCCAAATATGTGGAGTTCCCTGATGCTTTTGCCAAGAAGGTCAAGCATCTTCACCTTCACTGAGTTATTTACAGGACTGTCTCTCCCCAATTGTCTTTACCTGCCTATCCAATGTAGCAAGAGGAACATGCTCTGGGTACCATCTGCTAAGGAGAATCATTTTGCACAATATTTTGGTTAATCCAATGTTTCTTTTGTGCTCAAACATTTAATTAGATATTACATCATGGTATAAAAGTAATGGATCAATTTGATAACCTTCATAATTAGTATAAACTCATTGCAATAATTCAAATGATGTTTTATTATGATAGTTTGTCATGTTCTTCTGTATGCATTTCATCTAACTTTCAAATTTATATTAACTGATATTTATAGGCTATGTCTTTGTTTAACACAACACAACACTTGTTGATCGATTTGTACTGATTCATATTAGTAAGTTTACTGTATTTAAATTTTTGGAATACTTTTTGTATCACAATAACATATTTTTAGACTAACTTAGAGGAACAAGGCAGCGTTAATGTCCAAAATGGCCCCTTCCATTTCTGTGATGTTTGTGAATCTTCCACTAAACATTGCAGAATCTGGACTTATTGTAGTAGTCACTTGTTTGGTCTGTCTTGTGATCTATGCCTTACCAACCAATACTAACTGCTGTGTCCCGCATACCTATTTTTTTGGAGACGGGAGTAAACATATTTGGTCTGCATACTCTAATGAGATAATAGCATATTTATTCTGCTATAGTTTAATATACACCTGATTTTAATAATATATGGGTGCCTAACTAAATGATTATGGTACATACATTTGGAAAAGTGCATAATATGCATAATTCCTTCAATACTGTCCAACTATTTACGAAGTCTGCACTACCATTACTGTTAATCTTCTAATTACTCCTTATCACCATCCCCTCCCACTTGTGATTGTATGAGTGTAACTTCATTGCTTGTATCCTTACAATTTATATTGACTGTTTCCTAGTATGTTTTGATTGCTTATTGTACCCAATGACTATTATTAAGTGTTGTACCTTATGATTCTTGACGAATGTTATCTTTTCTTTTATGTACACCGAGAGCACTTGCTCCAAGACAAATTACTTGTGTGTCCAATCACACTTGGCCTATAAAGAATTCTATTCTATTCTATTCTATTCTGAACAACTATTGCTTTTGTTCTTATGTTTACATGTACAGGCACTAAAATATTTTTTAAAACCACACAATTATTTTTATTCAGGGAGAGAGTAATACTATAATTTTACCATGGAAACAATTCCAAATTCTGAAAACATTGTACACTAAAATGTAGAAAATGTTCAAATCTTGACATGCATTCAATCCTTTTCTGCCCTGCTTTGGTTGGGGTGTTTTACTACCTGCTGCCACTGTTAATGGCAGCAGGCTATATTGATATCATAAGCATCATAAGCTTAAGTTAATTTATGTTACAAATAATAAAAAAGAAACTGTCTAAAGTACTTTGAATAAGGAAGTGAAGAGCACTTTTTTAAAAAAAAATCTACAATAGAGCTTGATTAGATTCTGCTGCATAACCAGTCAGGAGAAGGAGCCATAGAAGGAAAGTGGATGGTGTAGAATATTTATGTACAATTTCTGTTCCAAGTTCAATTATTTCCATTCCATTTTGCTCACTATGGCAGAAAGTCTGATTGTTACTACAATCATAAAATTGCTGGCATACTGCTTTTCATGTCTTCCTTTCATTCAGGCAGTTCTTCTCACTCAAAAATAAGAACATTATATTATAAAACTTTATTAAAATCATTCAAAAGCATTGTCTGTCTCTACATGTTGTCCACTCACACCCTTTCTCTGTCTCACAAAGCTTTCAGAGTAAGCTTAACGCAGTTTAAAAAAAAAAGAAAAAACCCCCATCTCTTTAAGAATCTGCCATTTTCTATTTCACATTCTATCTTATTGTTAAATGTGATTGTTGACATCAAAAAGGTGTTCATAGTTCTAAGTAAGTAGTGTTAAAATAAGTTATCAGTGAAGCAGTTGATGATTCGTGTTTTGAATGAGATATTCATGAATAATCATATTATCATTCCATTATATTGATTCTCAGGGGCCATATTCCAGAGTTTGTGTTATTATTTATTAAATCCCAGTCAATGATACCTCTGTAGTTAATGTTGATCATGAAAGCTATTTCTGATTGTCATAATTAGATTATTTTACATAATAATTTCTATTAATGTTTTCTTTTTCTAGACGGAAAAGGGGAGTGCATTACATGAAGCAGCTTTATTTGGAAAAGTAGATGTTGTACGCATTCTTTTAGAAACAGGTAAATCATGATTGCCTAAATGATTTTTAGTTATTTTTAGTTATTTAAAAATGTTTTAAAATGCTATTGAAACTTCTTGAAATCAGTTTTCAGTTTTTATCCAGTTCCAGTCGATCTCTTATACAATGATCTGACTCTGATACAGTTATACAGGAATTTTTTCTTATCCTTCAATCAAATAGGTATTAGATATTAGGAACAATTGGTTTGTGTATTAAATTTATATACCACTTGGCTTTCAGTGGCAGGGGATGGCTTGAAATGGTTAAATATCATAACAAGAAAACAACACAAAATAAAAAAGAACAACGATGGTAGAGAAAACAAAACGTGGATAGCAACAAAAAAAAAAGAAGTAGAGGGCTTCAGTCACACTTGCCAGAGGCTTGCATGAAGAGCTAGGTCTTCAGGCCCTTTGACACTTTAGTAGGGTGGGTATCATTCAAATCTCCAGGGAATCTCATTCCATTAGTAGTCAAGTTGCAGTAGTCATGTCCTGAGGTGATCAGGACATAAATGACTATGAAGAGTTGCTGATCTTAGAAGGGGTATAACTGCGTGTTCCAAGGCTGGTGTTTACAGTATTACAGTATGTTTTAGGTGACTTAAAACAATAGAATAATGAAGAGATTTGGAAAGCACTTAAATTTCTTAGGCACTGGAATTTATATAGTTCATAAAATAATATTTTGAGAAGGCTGACTATATGTGCATGCGCCAAAAAGTACCTGCTTTGAATGTAGTCATTGCCTTTTAATTAAATAATCAGACTTGAAGTATTTAAGTTTATGTTCTAGAGAACATTTACTTCAGAAATACATAGAGCAGATGCGAAGGGTATTTATCTAACAATTCCAAATTCCTGCTAATTTAGCTTGGGTAGAGCTGAATGATATATGCATTTATCTGTGTTTGTGTTTCTGTGAATGCATATTAATAGTTTATTTTTCTTAAATTACTGATAATACTGTTTGAAAACCCAACCAGTTGATTTTAATGAAAGGGAAAATACTGAGAACAGTTCCCACCAGATAGGACTGAATATAGGAAACCAAGTGGCTTAGATCCAGAGGAGTTAGGTTATCTTTGTTCCCCGGGATGTTCAAGGCCTGTTGCTGGCAATGCCTACCAAGCACAGGTTTGGAGTCGGACAAACTAGAGAGATCTATCTGTCTGTTGACTGAATTCCTCTCTGCTGATCTCATATTTTGTTCACCTTAAATTTAGGTTTTAGGATTGGAATCTTAAATGTTCCATATTATATCCTTGTTTTTCTATTTCCTATTCTATGTATTTGTTTCAGGAATTGATGCCAATATAAAGGACAACTTAGGCAGAACAGTTTTAGATATTCTGAAAGAACATCCATCACAACAGTCACTTCAAATTGCTGCATTGCTTCAAGGTCAGTCAGCTACGTCATGTAAGTTATATAAAAATAATTAAAATACAAAAATCTCAATTTTATTTATATTATTTTTATTTTCCTATTGTCTGCTTAATTACACTTAAGCATATTTGGTACATGGTGCTTTCAAACTCATTGGTTTATATGGATAACATTAAAATATAAATGTTTTGGCTTGAGAGTCTGTTTGATTTGGTAGTTTTAAAGTTCCAGGCTAGGAACCAGGAGACCTTCAGTTTTAGTCCTGCAAAAGACATGAAGCCAATTCGATGACTTTAGTTCAGTCCTTCTCTCTTGGCCCTAGGAAGTAGGCAATGGCAAATCCTAAAAATGTTTCCAAGAAAAGATTTGGAGTTGTCCAGGCATTTGCCTGGAGTCAAGATAAACTTGAAGGCACACATTCAAAATATTTTAGTATAATTATTAAAGATACGTATAATTTTCCCAATGTTATCACTATGAAGAGTTATGTATTTTCTGTTGCGTTCTGAAGGTTAGACTTTGCAGGAGATGAAGATTTACTTTATGATTATTTTTGTGGCTTATATGAGTATCTATTTATGCCTCTCAAACTACCGTTTCAGTAGATTTCAAAGTAACCTTTCAGGGCAGGACTACTCTATGCTATCTACAGAATACTGTCCAATTCTTCAGCTTCTCTTTTACTACTACAATATCATGAAAAACTCTCCAACTCTTCTTTCTTCAGGCACTATTGGATTCCATAGTTTCTTCATGCTTTTTGTTTATTTTCCTCTTTATCTTTTTAAATTGTTTCCCATCTATGACTTCTAATAGGCACGATCTGTGTTGCCTTTGTTTGGATTAGGATCACTAGATATTGTGATTATTCTTAGAATTTTATTCTATAATTACAATATAATTGTTCAGCCATGCCTTAAACCTTGTTTGGGAGCAAGCCCTATATTGGTTGTAGATTGCTTTCAGTTTTTGAAACTGTCATATAAACACAATTACTTGGCTCCAATTCTGAATGCTTTCCTACTAAAATAGTGCTGGTTCATGCTAACATACCAATAAGAATATTTTTCTAATTTGAATTGAATAACTACAACTCCCTTTCATTCTAGGCTCAGCATTCTCACATTTCCAATGAGTGTCTGCCTTTAACTCTGATCTAAAAATGCAACTGATTATGAAAATATCCTATGAAGTTTCATGCTAAATGTGATTTGGGATTACCATGGGCTTCCTCTTCTATAATCTGCTAATTCCATTTGGTATAATCCCCCTTGGAGTTGATCATTATCTCTGTTTGGTGGACTTTGCTTCCAGGATTATGAAATAGAATTTGAATTATCTAATATATTGTACTCTCAAATCTTCTGAAAAAGACTTCAATGTCTAACTGATTAGAATTATGGCTGAAGGATTACTTGTGGGTGAACATAGAACTGGTGAATGGTCCACAACTCCTCTGTCAATTCTAGTTATGAGACCCATAGAAACTTGGACCAAAAGACATAGTAGAAAAAGAGAAAGGAATACTGTTCAAGCCATGCAGGTAGAAGCTTTATGAGGCTGGAGAATCTCCTGCTGCTTCAGAATTATGCATAGTTACATCAGCATGATGGCCTCAGTATATAAACATTTCCTTTCCAATTTCTTAGTGCCACAAACAATTGAACCTTCTACTCTTTTATCTACCCTCCATGTTTGTTGTGACTCTAAACATGTGGAATCCTAGGTGCTTTCTATCCTTAGTTTTTTGCTTTCAGTTGTTTCATTACCTGTCTAGCTAACATCATCAGTACATGATGTTGAACTGATGATGCAATCTAATTGTATTGTAATGAAACATCTGCAAGAAAACAACTAAGCTAGAGAGCCCTATACATTCCACATTTCAATCCTGAACTATGTCTATCGGATCCAGAATGTGTGATCTGGGACCTTTTAGTCTTTTACATTTTATATTATTTCTTTGATATCTCCGTACATCAATCTTTTTCGATTTGGTGAATTGATCTGTGTTGCTTTCTCTGCTTTTGTGACTCTACACTACACAGTTAACTTGTCTTTGCTTGTTTTATCCAATAAAATAATAATAATTTCCATAGATTTTAGAGTGGTCAAGTAGTATTGCATTCAGCCTGCCATCAGCCTTACTCTTTTCTCCAAGAAAACTGTACCAAAGGATACAAACCTAATTCCTAGTTATTTTATATTTAAAATTAAGTAGTTCTAACAGATTCTGAAAATTACTCTGTTTTTGAATCTAACACTCTATTTTCTTCATTGCTTGGTTATCATGAAACTGCAGATTTCCCATTAATGGCAACCTGATATGTATTCTCCATTTAATTTTACTTTAGAAAAGGTTTTTCATATGTGCATTCCAACATATAAATACCGAGATAGTGGGAAGGGGCTGTGGACACTTAAGTAATCTACCTCCCTATATTTATATGTCTTGCTGCCTTTAGTCAGGGATCCTGATTTGATCCCCAGTAAGCATGAGCAGGCTGATAGAATCCTATTTTTACAACTCTGTGGGTTTGCAGAAAATGTCCAATAATCCTTCTTGCACCTCCCCCTACTCACTTTCACATCCTTGCATAACCTTCCTGACCCACACAGTGCCTCTCATGCAATCTCTCACACACCCTCCTTTACCTAGGTGGCACCATTCACACATACCCCCTCCTGAACCCTCTGTTGCAACCTTGTAAGTCCTCCCCAACTCACGCCATGCCTCTTCTGCATTTCTTGAATTCTCCCTTGTTGTATCTGACCCATGTAGCACCTTACATGCACTTCTTCACATCCTCTTCATACCCTCTTGTGCCTTCTTCCACCCAGAAGCGATCACTAAACTGCTTGTTGGCCTGTGACTTGCAACTAAACGCTGGCTTTCCCACTGAGTTTTGTTGTGGCAAGCTAACAGGAAGTTCCTCATTTAATGACAGAGGGAGTCGGTTAATGATGGCAGTTAGGACTGTTGGAATTGCCACTGCTGGGTGACATGGTCACACTTTATGTCCACATCTCTTAGTGACAGAAATTCCAATCTCATTTGTTGTTGTAAATTACGGACTATCCATAAACTTTGTTTATAGAGACACAATACTGTGATAGAACTTTGAAAACTTAACTATGTTACTGAATCAAATTTTCTAAAATAAACTTTTAATTTATTTGGTGCAGTAAAAATTTTAGTTGTAGATATATTTAATTGTAACTCATCTCCATTAAAATCAGGAAATTTCATAGAATTGGCTGTATGACTTATGATTGCACAATATAAGTTAAATTACATAACTTAAATACAATATGAACATTAAATCAAAATATATGAAGAATTCAAAAAATATTGTCAAATGAATTTTCAAATTTTATTTATGGGATATATTCTTACCATAGATTACACAGAAAAAGGAAATTCAGAAGTTCCAGAGGAATCTATAGAGGAATATTTAGTATCAGATCAACAGTCCAGTGTTTTATCCCCAGAAGATTCTCCTATACAAACAAGTAAAAGTAAATATTCCATTCTCACTAGCTTGTTATGTGTTTAATGGGTTAAATTACTAAATGTTAATAATGAAAAACCTAGTCAATATGATATTATTGTACCTATTTTGCAAACTAGAGATGTAGTAATAAAAAATTAAAGATATCCTTCTTTGCTTATAAAATGTTAGTTTTTGTAAAAATATTACATAATTGGGTTTCAAGTATTCTAAGGTATATTTTAAATCTTCAAATAATCACTACTGATTGCCAAGTACCATAGTTGTTAAGTTGTAAACCTAATTTATCATACACTTCTACTAAAAACCTTTCTTTTCTCACTTATACAAAAAACATGTTTATATCATTACAGTCTTTGCTTATGAGTTGTATAATTTTAACAATGGGTATGCTATGGCAACACATTTAGTGCACATTGACGTGTGCCAACCATCTTCTCAAAATCAGTTTCTGAGGAATTTGTTATAGTTTCTAAAGCTAGAATTTAAAACATTTATCCCACTTCTTAAGGGTTTTATGACTATACCAATATCAATATAGCCTGTTTAAAAATGTAAAATAAATAGCAATATCACTTATATACTGCTTCACAGTGCTTTACAGCCCTCTCTAAGTAGTTTACAGAGTCAGCATATTGCCCCCAACAATCTGGGTCTTCCTTTTACCAACCTCAGAAGAATGGAAGGCTGAGTCAACCTTGAGCCTGGTGAGATTTGAATTGCCAAATTGCAGGCAACCGGCAGGCAGCAGAAGTAGCCTGTAGTACTGCATTTTAACCACTGTGCCACCATGGCTCAATTATGTTTTTTAGAAAATAATAGAACGCACCAAACAAACATAAATATAGAAAAGCATATCGAATGCTTTGGAAGAAAGGATGAATGAAACAACCTATCCAAATCTACAGATATTTGCCACTATTGCATATCCAAATACCTATCCAGCAACATATGCAGACTTCAAAGATGGACACATATGGAAAAACAAGGAAAGTCTTTCAAAAAACCTCTGAACTCAGAAAGAGTATCTGAAAAATGTCGGTGGACAAATAGTAATTTATTCAAATGAGGTCAAACAAAGATGGAGGGAATATACTGAAATATTATACTGTATTAATATCAATATTCAATATATTCCCTACTTATAAGAATGTTTAGTACTAGAAAATAAAGTTAGAACAGCACTTTGATCATTACCCAGTTGGAATGCTACCCAGTTGGAATACCCATAGAAATACGGTAAGAACAGAAGAAAAGTTCAAACCAATCTATGCCAATAAATCTGGAGAACAATACAATGGCAAATTGATTAGAAGAGGTCAATGTACATTTCAATACCGCAAAAGGAAACTTAGCAGAGTATGTAAACTATAGTATAATTCCTTAATTTCACAGTAAAATAATGCTTAGGGTAATCAAATATAGATTAGAGCCCTGGAGATGACAGATGTTCAAGATGGCTTTAGAAAAAGCTGAGGAACATCAGACATTAATGTTGATATATGCTGAATAATTGAGGAAGCCAAAGAGCACTAAAGAGAAATAGGTATGTGATTCATTATAAAAAGGGTTTCAACTGATCATGTCGATATGCTTAGATAAAATGGAAATCCTGGAACATTTCATTGTTCACATAAGAAAGTTAATACAGGTCAGAAGGTAGACAGAACATGGTAAAAAGACTGACTCCAAGTTGGCAAAAGAGCGCAACGAGGCTGTATATTCTCCCTTTTTTTATTCAGTCTAAATGCTGGATATACATTACGGGAAATTGAATTGGAAGAAGACAAGTGTGATTTTATCACTGGAAAAAGAAACATCAATAACTTTTGTTATGCTGAAGGTACTACTCTAATAGCTGAAAATGCAAAGGATCTGCAAGTAATAAAATATAGTAATGAAATACAAAAGACACAGTTAAAATGGGACTAAAATTAAATATAAATAAGATCAGTGACAATAGGTACAAAACTGAGTCTTACAACTGACAACGAAGATATTGAAGTGAATAGTCTGCTCAATGATCAACAGTAAAGTAACATACAATTAAGATATACTCTACAGACTAGTACTTGGTCAGGCAGCCAGGCATGTATTGGAAAAGATATGTATATGCTTTGATGTGTCTAAACTTACAAAGATCTGACTAATGCAAGCAGTGCTGTTCCTTGTGACAGTTGATGAAAGCAAAGTTTGGAGTTTGAAGAAGCAAGATAGGAAGAGTATTGAGGCCTTTGAACTTTGGTGTTCGAGAAAATTATTGAGAATACCATGGAAATCCAAGAAAACAAACGAATATATCATAAAACAAATATACTCAGAGTCCTTATTAGTGTTACTAGAGGAATAAATGACCATGGTCAAATTATCTTACTTTGGATACATTATGAGATGACCTAGCCTGTGGGAGAAGGCTCTAATGCTTGGGAAAGGTCAAAGAAAGAGAAGAGGATGCCCAGCAGTAATGTGAATTGGCTCAGTTACAGTGGTGATGAACGCACCATTAAAAGAACTCACAGAACAGGTTAGGGACTGATTCTAATAAGGAAAATCTGTCTATGTGGTTGCTAAGAGCAGACATTGACTTGATAGCATTAATAATCAGTCTATACGAATCACATAAGAGGTAGTTTAAATCCCAAGATTGTAACTGTGTTTCTTTAAAGAGTGAGGATGAGCAAAGGAAAACCCAATAGCTCATGTCTGTCTTTGTTTGAACTTGTAATTAAATATATTTCATTCATTTTTGTACTTTTGAATATAATTGACATAACAAAATAACTGTTTTTAAGAAAAAAATTAACAATGAAACAATGAAATCTACACTATTATGATAGATGCAGGCAGATCTAAGTTACTGTCTCTCCTTGAAACAGACCCTTCTAGACCCAATGTTAATAATTTGTTCTTATATTGCCTTGGGGATGGCTCCTCATATATCACTTCTTTGGTTTCCAATTTTTTTTTAAGAGCTGTAACCATCAGAGGAGAACACTGAAATTCCCCTTAGTCAAGTTTTTGGTGACCAATTGTTCATGACTAATTTTCCCATGTTCTTCTTTTGTTGTGTTTGGGTCTGTGACTGCAAATAAAGTATTATTATTATTATACTATTATGATAAATACATTATATATATTTGAAAAAAAGCAGGAAATAGGCATTTCAGCCTGAAAGTTGTTGTAGTTCAATAGCTCCATTTTGGATTCCCAATTTACTTATTGATCCATACAATAAAGGATAGATGTGCATGAGAACTTTGCCTTTGTGATTATTTGCAAATGATCCCCAAAATGCCAAATCCATATAGTAATGCCAAATAATGATAATTTAATAGTATTTTAATGGAAAAAAAAACAATTTTGAAATGGATTTTTGAAAATTGAATTTACAGAAAAAATGAACATTGATTTAAAATTGAGTATTTAGAATTAACAACTGAGCAGCATCCATATTACAATCAACCACCATAAGCATGTATGATTGAATGCCTGTATAACTCAAGTGTATTCTACAGAATGGCATTATTTAATCATGTTATTCCCCAAACATTTGATGTGTGTAATATTACATCAAATGATATCAGAATAACAGAGATAATATCCACATAAAAAAGAAAAAGAAACATACTAATTATGAAATTAAATCTTCACCTGCTTCTGTATTTGATTACACCAAGAACATACTTTGAATATTAAATTGACTTATTTTCTTTGACTAGTGACTGATTATTATATTTTGGCTCTTGTAAAGGTGAAGCTGTGACTGGTGAATTATCAAAACTATTAGATGAAATCAAGCTGTGCCAAGAAAAAGATTATTTAGAAGACATGAGCCATACTATATCAGATGATTATCTGGATGATGCTAGCAAAGTATCAGAAGAAGAAGCAGTAGCAAATGGAAACCGAGCCAAGTCTAATATAGTAAGTGAGAAAGAGTACAGTTTAAATCAGGGGTGTCAAACTCAATTTCATTAAGGGACGTATCAGGGCTGTGGCATACCCCAGGGGTTGCCAAACTTTCAGACTTCAGGGACCACCAAACTCATAATTTTAAATCCTGCGGACCACTTTTATGAATTTTGATTGATGGTGGCTTGCTGATGCTGGTGAGAAAGTCGTTCCCATATTCCAGAGCTTCAGTAGTCACAGGACTGGCCCTTTGGTCATCCTGGAGCAGCTGCTCCTCCACGTGGGTGCACTGGCCTGCCATGGACTGGAGGAGCGCTCTTTGGCCTCCAGAGGGCCAGTCTTGTGATTACTGCTGCTCTGGAATATGGAACCGACTTTTCCACCAAAGTCAACAAGCCACCCCAGGGCAGATTTCCCTCCCCCACCATTGGTCTTACCTTCCAGTTCCAGCTCACATGGCTCTACTCAAGGCAAAGTTTGCACTTGGCTGAAGGGTGGGGGCCAGTGGGTAGGAGGGCCATGTGGGCGGCCAGACTTGAGTTCCCACATAGCCTGGATTAATTGCTTTGGGGGGATGCTTTGGGGTGGACATTTCTCTGCAGACCACCAAAATTTTCCTATGGACCACCAGTGGTCTCTGGCCCACCAGTTGGCGACCACTGGCATAGCCAACTGGGTGGGTGTGGCCAATTGGGTGGGTGTGACCAGCTTGACACCACTCACTGGGTATGGCCAACTGGGAGGGTGTGGCCAGCTTGATTCCACTCCCCAAACTGTTGCTATGTTTCCTCTTCGCAATGGGTAAACCGGGCTGAAGCCACCTGGCCCAATGTTTCCTCTTCTCATTGGGTAGACCATGCTGACCTGATGTTTCCTCTTCACACTGAGTAGAATGGCCCGAAGCCATGCTAGCCTCTTCACATTGGGACGACTGGGCCAAAGCCACGCTGGCCCAATGTTTCCTCTTCACGTTGGGTAGACCGGGCCAAAGTGACAAGCCTTACATTTTCCAGGATGGTCCTATGGGCCGGATCCAACCACATCGCAGGCCTTATGTTTGACACCCCTGGTTTAAATTCTAGCAATTAACAATATGATTTAAATCTGTTTCATATGTTTATGTGCTGCAACACTTATTTCCTGCATAAAATAATGTAATTAAAAATTAGATAATAAAATGAAGTGGCAGCACATATCAAGACTCTTCGATATCTCCCTGAAATTATTACTGTATATTGCGGGGGTTTTTCAGCTACTTTCTGGGAACTTCCATTTGTTTTGTTTTGTTTTTATAATTTTATAAATTCTATCCATCTTTTCTTTTGATTAAACTATATTTACCATTTTCCTTCAGCAAAGATATTTCAAGCCATTCTTGTAAGTCTAGAATTGACGCTGATATAACTCTAACAAGTAATAATTCAACGCCTATTTTTTCTCCGTTGAACAATTTGCGACTTTGTAGAGAATTCTATGTTTCTTCTGTAAAATCATATGTATAAGCATTAAACAAAAGTAATTATGTCCAAATATGACAACAAACCTATGACTAAAACCTAATTTTTAATTAAAGTATTGCAATAGACTTTATTTTTAGGTATCCATCTTCCAGTAGATGGCAGTATGATTCAATAAAGAAGAGCACCAGCCATTTTATACAATAGAAGGATCTTCCAAATGCATGTTTCTTGGTGAACTTATTAAGAGAGGCTGGCACGTTTTAGTGTAGTATGAATCCAAAAAGATCCCTGATGATTGGACTCCAAATACAATGTATTGACAGTTTCCTATGGGTTGTGTAGTCTTTAGGATAGACAATACCATAAGTTATTAAATACATTCCAAAAGCCGTAATCAATTCATTTTAATAAATTATGCTAATTATGTTTCAGATAATAAAAAAGAATCAGTTAATGATTTATGAAAAATTTGGTACATTACAGTATTAAATTAAATGAAAGAAATTCAAAGAGTTCAGAAAGTAGCATGTGGAATTCAATGAAAAAAAAATAAGGAGGAGTTCAAGAAGTCACTAGAAGAACATGGGAGTTTCTAGAAATGATTTATTTGATACAATATTCATTTATAAAAGGCAGCAATTTCTAGGTTATTGCAAATGCATAACCACCATGTTAACATATAACATCATTGAGAATAATGTAAGGTGAAAATTTATTGAATTTTATAAGCTTGGAAATATTATTACTCTGTTGTCAGAGATCATCGTCTACAAATCTGGAACAAGCAGAAGAGGAAGAAGAGGGTGGAACTGAAAATAGTTGTGGACCTACAGGTTTGTGGGAAGCACTGACGCCTTGTAATGGATGTAGAAATCTTGGATTCTCCAGTCTTACTCAGGTATTTATCATTTTCGATACAAATCATGCTTGAGTACCCTCCTGTTAATAGGTTGGAAAATTTCACCATGAATCTTGTTTTCTAGAAAGTTAGACAAGGACAATGGATGGCATTGCTCCAAATGGCCTCTGTCAGATCCCAGATCCCAGTGGTGGGGTTCCATTTTGGACAAAAATACATCCATAAAAAGAAATACTCCCTCTTCATGGCCTTTTGAGAGTTTAAACAAGCCTTTAACTCAATTTCCAGAAATTAAACAATTCAATGTCAAAGTCCTCAATCCCTACAGTTCTCTATACAGATAATGCCACACAATTTCCTAAATACAGTATATATAGCAGCAATAGCAGCAATGTTTTGATACTGCAGCACAATTACCTGGATTTAATTCTGAAAAATCTAAAATTGTGCTCTTTGCTAAGAGAACAACCCAATAACCCTGGACAATAGGAGGGCAAAAAATAGAGCAGAATACTGCATTGAAATTCCTTTAAGTGGTTACCTAATCTAAAGGCACCTGGAATACACACCAGAATTACATAGTGCTGATACTGCTTAGATTTTAAAGTGCTATTAAGTGCTTCTTCTACACAAGTGGAGACCAGTTAATCCCTGCAGCATTAAAACTTTTTGAGGCCAAGTCATTAGCCCAAACCCTTTATGGTACACAAGTTAGAATTTATAGAAGAATATTGTAGAATGATGCAATTTTCCTTCTCCCTGGAAATAGGCTGTAGAGCAAAAATTGGCATTATATGAGTTTTCTTACTACTCCTAATTTTTTAGAGAATGACTAAGCCAAATAACTGTTCACCAAAAAGATGTGAAGTTTCAGGAAAAAGTTAATAGGTTGGCCCAACATGGCAAAAATTGGAAAAAATAAAGACACTTGGAAACCAGAAAAATACCTTTAAAAAATCTAACTTTCCTGAAGCTTAAAATCAGAGATAACATCTTACCCTCTGCACTGCTGCAAGTTAATTAATCGTGTGTACCTGCTCATGGGAGATTGCAACCATTTTGTATATATTATTACAAGTTATATAGGGATATCAGGCCTTTTTATAGTCTTCCCTTAATATGTATGTTTCCAGGAAGGCCAGACAATTTCTATGTGAAACACATAAAAAATTCACTTATGCAGTAGCCAAATTCTGTGTTGTTTTGATGAAGTCATAACTGGTCATAGAAATAACTACTTCTGTTTTATACATCATTTCAGGTTTAATGTGGTAACAATCTTGCTTTAGGTGATGTGTATTTTTCCTTTGTTGACAGTAATAACTCAGATTTATACTTGCACATATAATAGCTATGTTACATTTTATCCTTTTATTGTAGTATTTTATTTTGTCTATGTATTTGATTTTACGTTTGTGTTATATTTTTAAATGTTTCTATTCATTGATCAAATTAAGTACAATATTCTCGACTTAAAACCATAATTGAGCTTGACAAGGATTCAATCAGACCTTTATTATATTTTCTGCAGCAGTTGTTAAGCAAATGTTGTTACTGTTAAGTGAATGCTGCATAGCAAACACCCATTGTTTGCTATTGGGCAGTTTTTGCCAGAAATCAGAAGTAAACTGCTGTATTTTACAGCGGTAGGGTGATATAACAGTCATGTTAGTGTGATTAATAAACTATTCTGGACACTAACAAAAGAAGGACTTCTATGTTGAAGTGCTTTTACTTATTGTTAGAGATTTCAATCACATTGCAACTATCATCTGCCTGCTTGGTTTATCACTGTACTTGTTTATAGTGCAGGTTCTTAGTTTTACTTGACTAACAAAAGAAAACTGTCTTGTATAGGCTGTTAACAAATATATTGAAATAGTTTTTTCCAAATAAATACTCTAAAAGAAATTGCTAGCCTCAGTTTACAAAATCTTGTCCATCTTTGCTATCTCTTTTGTATCTACTTAAATTGTACAGACAATAAATTGTAGAGAAATGTAAAGGGATGAGATATAGTTTATAGTCTAGTCTACTTCATATCAAGAGACAGCTTTAGTTTAGTTTAGTTTATTGTCATTGTACCTCGTAGAACGAAGTCAAACACCATCTTCAGTGCACATCATGACCGTGAAAATAAACACAAACACACATCTTTCACACTCCACACATTGAACCAAAAATCCCCAACACCGCACCAACACTTTAAGATCACTGAGCTCCAAATCATAGGCTGTTCACCAGTTTGGATGCTAGTTTTCTCAGCAGTCTTTAGTCCAAGATGGTCCCTATTTCCTATCTTTGTCAAAGATTACACTTATCTTTCATGTGCTTAGAAAAAGTTGAGAGTGTTTTCTTCTTGATCTTTCAGCTTTTAAGGCCATCAATAGCCTTGTGTCTTGCTGGATTGTTTCTAGACCCTTTCTACTACTCTATGAGGTCTTTGAATCAGCTGGGTCTGGGCGGACCCTGTTTTGTACTAGTAGTTAAATACATGTTTGTTGAGAATGTTCCCCTAAACTGAACATCAGAATGAGTTTGGTAGCAATTTTAAGGCTAATAAATATTATTAAAAGGCATTTTGTGAAGTATAGCTCACTTGATCAGATGCATAAAATATAAAATTGAAATTGGGATGGTAGGGAAGAATGGAGGAAGATAGGTGGTTTTGCACATGAAGGATACATATGGGACAGATTATAAGTATTCTATCATTAACAGTTGTAATATGTTAAAAAATTCATGTCTGAGATAGTCTGAAACCTAAACCCTGAAACAAACCTTTGATATAAGTAGTCTGTTGCTCAATTGTACTGGTGAACTTTTTTGTTCTGAAACAGCTACTATGAAATCTGTAATGGAATATCCTGATTGGTTAAAATGCTGTGATACATTATTTTATTGTTGCTTTCAGTCCTAATGTGAAGTTTGCACTTTCTGACTTCTTTATCTTATTAGCATCTTTTTCAAGTAAAAGTCTGAACTGCTGTTATTGTTATCTGACTATAGACAATACATTTAGTAATGTGTTCTGGGTGGAGGTTGGAAGACTATAAGTATGTATCACAACTATGTTTCCTGGATAATGTAGTGTTTGTGTGTGTCTATTGTTTTATTATGACATAAAAAAGTGAGCTTATTCTGTCTATAGGTCAAAGCTAAATTTATTGGTGGGGATAGAAATTAAGGTCTTGATGGAATTGAATGAGAAATTCTGTTCCATAAGTATCTTCAAGAAATGGTACCAGAAGCCAATGTTTTATATATGTCAAAAATATATAATCAAATATGGCAGCACATGGCTTAATCTAACATTAAGTATTAATTTTAAAGAATAGCATTTAAAAAATAGGTCTAATAACTTGGCTTATTTTATTAATTTTTTGTTTTCCTGTGGCCCCTAGAGGGCATTTTGGGGGAAAAATATTTTATTCAGGAAGTTAAAGTAAAATATTCCCCAAAAAGAAAAAGAAATTTTGCAAAAACAAAACAAAGAGAGAGAGACAAAACATTAAAAACAAAAGAAAAAATGTGCATTAAAAGGGGAAAAGACAGAAGCACATATACAAATATTATCCCCACCCAGTTGAATATTGATAAATATATTACAATATTACTTTCCCCCCTTGAGATACAGGCCCCAAATTTATAAATTTCTGTATTTATTTGCAAGCAATTTGACCCGTCATCTATCTACTATGTATAAAAATAATGTAGTTATCAGGTGAACCAACGGCAAAGTAAAACTTCAATGCCATCTGTTAACAATCTATTGTTGTATTTAACTTGTAGAAAGTCTACAAACTGAAAGATATTTGGAGACTACTAGATTTCAGCAACAGAAATTACGTGTAGAAAATAAACCAAACTAAACCAAAATGAAAGAGGCACTTACTATATACACATACATGTACATATACACATACCTATACATGTACATAGGTAAATATTTCCCTATCTGACTCTAGGGATGCTTACCTCCATTTATTGGCCGAGGGAGCTAGAGTTGTCTGATATGTGCCAGCATGGCTATAGGCCAAAGGCGTACAGAACATTGTTATCTTCCCACCAAAGTGGTACCTATTAATCTACTTACATTTTCATGCTTTCAAACTGCTATGTGGGCAAGTAACAGAAGCTCACCCTGTTGCATGGAGCTTGGGTCTCCAACCTAGGCTGTCTTTAACTGCTGAGCCATCATGCCGAGAGAGATATTTGCCTTGCATTTGGACCCAAAGTTTGATATTCAGATAAACTGGTAGAACTCTTCAGAAAACAATTATTGTGTTTCTACATTTGCTAGTAATTAATGATGGCTCAAGGCAAGTCTTAAATGTGGTCTGGCTAATTATTGCCCCACTTCCCAGTAAGAAATTTAAAATACAACAGTTAAAATATAATTAAAATTAATGGTAAATTTTTATGGAAGTATTTGAGAAAAAGTTTTCAAAGTTAATGTCAGCATTCCAGAAAACCTTAACTCCAAGACAGACATCCTCTCCAAGGTTCCTTTTATTAGAATAGTAAACTGGCACATCTGGGAAATCCCAAATCTGAAAGTTCCAGGTTTCCTTGCAATAAGTTAAAAAATTACAAATCCACTCCCTGCCCCCATCATTCCATCACGTGCCCCAATCACCATCCATCCCAACTTGAGATGTCCCCTCAACCAGGTGCAGAAATAACATGACCTTGACTTAGAAGAAGAATGCTACTATGTCTAACCACATACATTCCAAGAAATTCCCCCCTTCCATTTTTCCAGGCTCAAGAATGTGTCAGTGTGGAAGATCTGGTGCTAATATGGCTTCCAAAGCTGATAGTTACATGATATGTTACAAAATATGAATGAAAAATTAGACAAAAAGTTCAAATTATTAGCGACAGTTAAAATATACAGATTACACTGGATAAGACAGATACAAAACTAGATTTATTATTATTAGATTTGAAGCAAAAATATTTTTCTGAGATTTAGAGGGATGCCAGTAAATTTGGAGAAAGGCTCAAATTTAAAAAATGTAATTGTAATGGAAAAGCAGCCATTTTGGGATTTATATTTTAAATGGACAGTAAGACATACCTTTCATCTCTTAACCAATTTATGAAATTATTATCTGAATCAGCTAAAAGAGTCTCTCTTCAGTCACAGCCTATTACCCCTCTTTGAAGCTCTGTAACGTTTTTGAGACGTCTTTAATGTTATATGACAAGAAAGAGGGTTGCTGGAGGCAAGCTAAATTAAGGAAACATGGAGTATCTTTTCTATTTAATTCTGATGGAGAAACATAAGGGTAGAAAGTTGGGGTTTTATTTTACTGTTTTAAAATAATCTATAGCCTTGAATTGATTTGTTGTGAGTGGCTGAAATTCCTCAATTTTTATGAATTCTAATTGGCCAAAACAAACAAACAAATATTCTTTGACCACTAGAGGGAGATAAGAAGATGTCTAAATTTGAGCATATTTTAAGGTAGTTATTTAAAAATTCTCTACAGAAAATTATTTATTTCATAGACTGATTAGGTTCTAAAGATATAAATAATATATATGTTATTTAAAAAGAACAAGAGGAGCAATTATGTGTAGGGAGCTATCAAATCACTGAGACAATTTCACAATATCTGACAATATAACGGATTTAACTGCAATTTTGGAATGCAAACCTGACACCAATGTTTATTATGATGGTGGTTTGACTATGATCCTCTCAGTTCAATTGAAACAAGAATTTCAAGAAAATTAACAACTCCCAAGGATACTAACAAGGTCGAGAATTCTTTCAGAAAAAGACTCAATAGATATTTCAGAGAAAATATTTTATTCTATGAGGATGAGCTCCAAGCAAATGTATAACTTTCAAAAAACAAGTTTGGGCCTTTTTTCCCCATGGATATTAACAAGGTTGAGTATTCCTTGAGAAAAAGACATTCCAGAAGAAAAAGAAGATATTATTCTATGAGGATAAGTGGAAGGGAGTGACTTAAATTTAATGAGTTAATTGGAGTTAGGATGGATTTTTACAAGTGTGATATGCAATTGAAAGAAAGCTCTAATGTAGCTTGTGTTTATAAATTGGGTTTCAAAATGTTTTTTTCTTCTGGTTTTTATATTCAATGTTTGAGTAATTCCCAAAGCTTGTAAAATATTGCTAAAAGTAAATTTGGAAGCATGAATAATTAGAAATATTTTTAAAGAAAAGTCTGGAGTTTTTAAATGGATGTTTTAAAAAAGGGTATTTCTTCTCTAAGGTTAAAGAACTTGAGAGAGTGTAGTAAATTATGTTAATATAAATGTTGATAGTTTATCAAAATTAATAGGTATAAACAGAAATATATATTAGGAAAGGAAACCCCCCTCTGAAAATGAGCTGTAGAGGTGACTATTTTAGGGAGGCAGTTTGGGAAACAGACTGTGCTGGAGTGGTGAAGCAGTGAATGGTGTGTGGACCAGGTGAAATACTTGGACATTAAAAGGTACCCCAGAATTAAAAGAAAGCATTTTTATTAAAGATTGTAGAAGTGACGACCAGAGAGAGAGAAAAGAAAATTGGAAACTTACAAAATTGGCTTTGGACTTTAAAAAGAATTAATTTGGATGTGGAAAATTGAGAGGAAAACATTTGAGTATAAAAGATTTTGAAATTGAACTGGATAATTATTTGGATTTTGGCACTAGATTCATTAAATGCTGGAATTGAATGTGTTAAAAAGAAATAATAGCTAATAATTGGAATTAGTGAAATTAATAAAAAATTTAAAAAGGGGAAAAGTGAAAAATAAAGGGTGGAATGTGGAAGCAGAATTGAGAGCGCCACCTAATGGTAAAGGAAATTTTTTAGTGACTTTTTGAAAATGCTTGGTCTATTTAAAATTGGAATGTGAAATGAAATAAGAATGTGAAATGAAATAAGAGGAATTCTACTACAGTAAAATAAACCCCCCGAAAAGTGAAATATTAGAACATTACAGAAAAGAGACATGTGAAGAAACTGCCCCGGGAGTGTTTGGTGACTTTGTAAAAAAAGTTGGAAAAGAAATTAGCAGAAGGAAACTTGGAAACAAAGACTCGTAGACATTGACTGTTTAAATTAAAGATAAAAGGCACTAGTTAAAATAAATTACTGGACAATCAGATTGGAGATAAATATTAAAGAAGGAAAAGAAGAAGTACACAAAATGAGTGAAATATGTGTGGAAATAAGGTCAGAACTACAAAACATGAAGGAAATGATGAAAGAAAGCTTGGAAATGTATAGTATTATACTACAAAAATTCGAAATGATGCAAACTAAAGAAGAACAAAGAGAGCCAGAGGGGGAGGAGTTAAATAAAGAGGAAACCAGCTCTAAAGAACAAGTGGAACAATGAACATTAAAACAAGAAAAAAAAGAATCAAAGCTAAAATTTTGAAGTTTGATGTGATAAATAAAGGGGAAATTGTTTGAAAAGTTAAACAAAGGAAAAGAAAACAGCAGAAGAGGGAATTACAGAGGAAAGATCAAATGAGGGAGGGGGATAAAATAAATAATTGGAGCAAGAAATGGAAGGAAACAATAGGGGAAAAGGGGAAATTAAGCAAAAGGACCAGAAAATGATGGGAAACAGAAAGCAAGCAAAAATGAGAAGAAATTATACAGTCAGGAGGATGAGAGACAATGGGTAGAAGAGAAATAGGAAGGGGGATTCAGCATGGAAATGTTGTGATACTTAAGAACATAGATTTAAAAATAGAAAAGACTGAAACTGATATTTTTTAAGGATTACTATTAAACCAGATGTAGATTTAATTGAAATAGATATGGAAATGGGAATTTACTATAAGAATATTAATTGATATTTAATAAAGCGATAAATAAAGTTAAAATGAATTATGAGAATTGCAATGGGAAGACTATTATCAGCTCCCAAAATTAAGTGAACAGATTAATACCTTTGAAATAAATAGATGATTTAGATTGTAATTGAGAAACATGTATGGTATTCAGCTTTGTTTGGGTGTTTTCCCACATCATTATAGTTGTGCTTTTAAAGTTGTAGCAACTTTTTGTAGTTTCGGCAGTATCTCATCTGCCATCATCAGGCTTCCTCTCTTGTAAGCGAAGTTGTTGCCTTCTCCATTCCTCCCTGCATGTCCTAGGATGCATAGAGAATGGGCCTGGTTCTTCCTCTGACTGCCCAGTCAGCCTCTGTCCTTCCCTAGCCTCCTCCACAACCTCCAGAGCCACACCTCCATTCCCTGTTGGCTGTTCCTCCTCTCCCTCAGAGTCCGATTCTACCAAGAGCATGACACTTATATACCACTTCACAGTACTTTACAGCACTCTCTAAGTGGTTTACAGAGTCAGCATATTGCCCCCAACAATCTAGGTCCTCAATTTACTGACCTTGGAAGGATGGAAGGCTGAGTCAAACTTGAACTGGCCATAATTGAACTCCTGGTAATTGGCAGAATTAGCTCGCAATACTGAATTCTAACCACTGTACCACCATGGCTCTTGGTGGCCATGGGAAAGGTTGTGAAGGAGTGTTGGGAGAGGTCTTGGGCATTTTGCTCCTTTTCAGGTGAGAGACAGTAGGGTGTGAGTTTTTATGGATTAAGGCAGACCTGTCAAATTGGCGGCCTGTTGGCTGAATATGTCACATGCAGGCCATGCCTACCCCAGCTCTGCAAATGCAAAAAACATCACTATATGTCATGATCTGGCCCGTGATATGATTGAGTTTGATACCCATGGATTAAGAAGATGTAAGGATGCACTATTTTTTTCCTTCCCCCCTTGGACTTACATGCCAAGAGCAGGGTGCTGATGGGGAACTAAGTTGATGGAAAGTGTCAACTAGATGAGCTAGGTGGCTGCTGAGTATTGAGTGTTATAGCTGACCTTCTTATTGGCTGGTAATGAGATTATAATGGGGACCTTAGTGAGGAGGAGCAAGGATTGGGGGATATTGTTACAGGCGAGGAGACAATCAGTGGCTTACTCCTGTCTCTTGCAATATTTTCCCATGCCCATATCAGGGAAAGCAGCCCTGCTGTTTGGCCCCACAATTCTGATAACTGTTATTGTCAAACAGTCTACTGTTGTTTTCCTGCACTATTAATGTGACACTTTTAATATTAAGTACATTTTTGGGAACTTTCTACTAATTCAAAGATAGAACTAGTTTAAATTATTTATTAGTAACTGATATACAGTAACATTTTTTTTCTGCATGCAATCTCAGATAGCTTTGACATTTCAGATTAGTTTGTAGAGTTTGAAAACTGAATCATCCCTAGTTGAGACTAAAATTAGACTTCTAGATGTCAGAATTTGAGTTTCAATATATTACTCAATTATGAAACAATTAATATATTCTTGAAAATGCACTAAATCTCCTTTTCCAGCATGAACATGTAGGACAATGTACCCCTCTTTTGTGAGGAGTTTCATTTGTTCCAATATGATTTATTTGGAGAATTTGCAGCCTGAAAAATGATAGTGCTAAATTCCTTTTCTTTTCTTTTTTTTCCTTTTCTTTCTCCTCTCATCCAATCCTATGCAAACTTTTAAGATTACTGTTTTAGCCAAGAAGCAGAAATCTTGCTAAAGACTGAAAGGAAAGTAGGATATAACTATTCATTTTTCTCTTTTGCTATTATTATTATTAGTAAAAATATTAGTATTACTATTTTGCTATTATTAGTACCGGTAGTAGAAGATGTAGAAAAGTGATCTTCTGTATTTCCAGGTGCCCAGCTGATTTTTGTTTCAAAGATATATTTGCAGATCTCTAAAAATTAACTTCAATTATTTTTTAATGGAAAGTTATTTTAAAAATCCTTATAATTGTTGTAATTGACTTTCAGGTAAATATGATAGTGTATATTTGATCATTTTAAATAGTTTTCTCTTCTGTCCTCTACAAGGCCAACTCTATTATATAATTCTATTTCCATATTTCAGGAAGCCTTTCCAAAGAAGAGGAGTGCTACACTGGAAGCAGTGCCATCTGTTTCTTCAGAAACATTTCCTGTAGAAAATGAGAATGGTCCCTGTGATTTTCTTGATACAACAGTTACGAAGAAACCTTGTTCTTTAGAAATAACAAGAGGAATTTCATCAAAAATAGGTGTTTTACTGGTTTTGATCTTACAAGTATTTGTGCTACCCAGATTTTTCTTTATACTATTAGCTGATTTTGAGAAATATGCAGGAATTTTATCACTTAATGCTTGTCGCTGCAGGAAGCACAAGCAAGCATTAAGGACAAGTCCAGCTGCATTGTATTTGCTACATAAATTTGGCATTTAGAGAGGATACTTATTGTTCCAATTTCTCCTGACCATCTCCTTGTGAGAAAAAGTAAATCATAACAAAAAGTCATATGGTATCTATTGCTGCTTTTAGCTGCCTAACTTGAGGCTGTTTTAACACATAACAAATTCATGCCACTCACAAATATAAGATATATTTGAAACTAAAAGAGGGCATTCCGAGCTTTCTTGAGACAGATGTCAATTCAGTCGAAGCTGTATTAGCAAATAGTGGATATCCAGCCAGGTGTTTGCGCCTTTCTGAAAGACTAACTTCCAAAAATATTTTATAGTTTTGAATTCCTGTGAAAAGAAGACTGGGTTCCATATTCTTCCTATCCAATACAACTTGCGATGCTTTTTTTCTGTTAGCATTTCAGTTTCCATTGTTCTGTGATACCTTCATTCCTGTTTCTAGAACAATCCAGACCAAAGTATATAAACTTTCAAGATTTTTTCCTGGGGTGAACAAATGAGGAGCAATAAGGAGGTGATTGAATTTCAGTGTCTGACTACTATACATGCTGTTTTTTCTCATATAATAAACTCTGCATTATAGTAATCTTAAGAATGTTCTGGATTTTTTGTCTTTTATTTATTTATTTATATTTTTTTCCATACTATTTTTATAATTGTAGTAGCTTCTCCTATTTCATATTTTAAAAGAAAAATATAATTTTGGAAGAAAATGTCTTTTATTTATTTAATATGTATATAGATGCCCATCTTGTATCAAACTCTGGGATATTTATAACCAAGGGATAAAATCTCATCTATATATAATGAAAATATTTAAACCAAAGTCATTAAAGCTCAAAAATATTAAATACAAAACCTTGGTAAAAAGTAGATAAATCTTTGACTGTATAATGGCACTTAGGCCCAATTTATAGACTCCTCACAGGTTCTGCTCTCTAGATAATGTCCAAGAGTATCAGTATAATTGAAACAGGTTTTTTCTACTACAGTAAATTAAAAAGGATTGATTTCTGAGCAATTGCATGTCATAATGTCTCAATAACAAGAAGGAGAAAAGAATTGTGCATACATAAAATCCAGTTGAAACTCTTTTAAGTTTCTATCTAAATGAAACAAAAAATGTTAAAAGTTATGATATTACCAAGCACATCTAAATTATATTAAAGTAACCAAAATATATTTATAATGCCCACGGCATGTCACAACTTTTAAACATACCTAATATTTGGAAATTTATAGGGCATATTGAAAAATTCAACATGCCCTATTAAATAGTCAGCATTCCAGATGGACGTAGCTTGCAGATGCTATTTAAGGACAGCCATATGTATAGAATGTTGCAATAGTCCAAATAAAAATTAACAAGGACATGAGGGGAATGAGCAGGAATTATCATAACTGTATAAAGCTGAAACTGCAAAAAGCCCTGCTACTATCTGCTCATCAGGTAAAAGTTATAGGTCTAGGAGGATTCCTTGCTTATGCTTTATTTTAAACAAATCACTATTATTCAAACTTGTAATGGAATTCTTTCTGACACACTCCCCATTCTTGAAGCCTCTCATTTTTCCAACAACAGAATATTTTCTCGTGTCTCCTAAAAGAGCAACTGAATTAAGCCATTGCCTCTACAAGCATTCGGCTGATGGTCATTTCCCCGCTCTCCCATTCAAGATTAGAGACCACATTTGGTTTTCATCTAGATATTTCTACTGTGCAGACTATTTTAAAAAATTGAGACCAAATTTATGAGTTCATTTTCGGTGTTTGTATAGATAATCCCATTGGCAGCAGCGATACTGAAATGCCTTGCCTTTTATGATTCTGTCCCAGTCCTGGACTTTCCTTTTGCTCACTAACTCTGAGGTAAAGTGTACTTGGCATAAGAGGGAAAAAGTGGCATATCTGACACAGGCGTGCAAATGAGGAATCAGGAGAGTAGTTTCCAAAAAATGAAGAGTTTTGGAGAATACATAATTACATAATTCCTGGTTTGGCCTAATCAGGGGAGCTGATATTCTCTTGAGGAGTTGTACAGGTCTCTGCTGTCATTCATCCTTCTTTGGTGGTATTGTGTTTCAGGGCTTAGTATTCTTTTGAGGTCAGGTTCTAACTCCTTGTTATATAAGTCAGTAGCTCCCTGTGCTGGGTTTGATTCATCATTCACAGGTGCTGACAACTTATTAATTCCTCAGCTATAACCTGACAGTCCTCTAGTTTCTATTCTTCACGTATAGATTCACAGGAATCCATAATAGATACAGTAAATGAATACGAAGCAGAGAACATTTTGTCAGTTGTAGTCAAGGAATGATGAAACTGGGGAAGAGTTGCATGCCCTTCTAAGTTTCCATGTTGGAGATTGAAACTGTGAAATTCTGGGAGTTGAAATCCATGATCTTAAAATTGCTGAGAGTGAGAAACACAGATTTAATGAAAAGAAAAGAGAGTGATTCTTCTACACCATCTCATCCCCCTTACTTTTTAAAATCAGCTCTTTTGAATTGAAAGAACATCTTTCCCTACAAGCCCTTCCTCCCAAATAGAGCCTACATGTTTATTTAGGACAATTATTCCTTCCAATCAGGTATGCACATATGTGCTAGTAATGACAATATATGTGTCTGCTAACTTTTATTTATCTGTGAACACACTAGCAATAGTGGCACTCTATATGGATTAGCCTTTATTCTACTGTATATATACTGAAATTTTCCTCATTTTCTCTTGATTACACCACCTGTAAGTATATACAAATTGTGTATATAAGTATATATGAAAGGTAATAGTGATATTTTTTTAAGTCATTGAATTGGTTGCTGGGGCAGTTTAGTCAACAGTTTACATCCTGGTGAATGAGGTTGAGGAAGGTCCTAATAGATAAGCTGATTTTCCCATTAGTTAATTAATACCACCTGTTGGAACACAGAAAGCCTTTAGTATATTTCTCCATTCCTATACAGAAGATATCAGAACTATAATTTTTAACCATCTATCCATTTTTAAGTACAGTAGAGTATTATACTAATATTCCTAAATGCTAAATATAATTTCCTTCTCATACTTCCAGTTTCCCCTCTAGTCTTGACAGGCAACCTATGAACATAAACCAATTTCTGCACATGAATAGTTTCCTGCATTGAAATGCTAAGCATTAGCTGTGATCAGTGACAGGCTTTGTAGAAAACAATAAAGGAATATCTCAACCTGAATGCAAACAATATGAATTATAGATCTAATAATTATAATAAATTATAAAATACTGAATCATTTGTCTTTAAAGCCATTTTCTGTTTTCACAGTATATTCTTGTGTAATAATGTGTAATCATCAGAACACTATTTTTATTCATAGATAATGCACCTCAAGTAGCAATTATTGCACCAGGTACCGGTAACCATAGAAACAGTTCAACAGGCCCAACACCTGACTGCTCTCCTCCATCACCAGATACTGCACTGAAAAATATAGTAAAAGTTATACGACCTCAGGTGAGTAGTCATAGATAGATATTATTTCATTTGAGCTTATCAGAAAACATCTTTTCTCTTTCAGGTTTCCAATATGAACATTGTAATATGTCTTGTTTAAAGACTTTGAAATAAAATTTCTAAACATTGCAGATAGATGTTCTTGTTTGGATATGAAAACATAAAACTATATTATTACTTTAGTGTTAAAAACACTACACTTGTTTTTCTGACAAACCAGTTAACAATTAAAGAACAGTCTAATCAGTGAACCACCAAGATCACTTCCACTAATGCTGATAGGACAAGCCACTAGTACATAAAATGAGAGCAAACCCCATTCCCTTCTAGCACTGATGATATTACTTAGTTTGGTAACAAAATCTCTGCAATCAAATAACCAAGCTCAGAGAGCATCAAGGACTCCAACATTCATTCCTTAACTACAAATGTTCTATTCTATTGATATTTATAGACTTAATTTTAAATAATTCTGAATTGAAAGAGTTTATCTAGATTTTGTATTGGATGTCATTACTCTTAATGAGCCACTTCCTGTTTTGCCTAATTTTTGATACACATTACAGTTATATTGTATATATACTTAACTTACTTAGCATACTTGTGCTTTTGTTTCTGCCATTTGTGTTCTTTTTCATCTCATTGACCTTGGTCACATTGATCTCTCCATTGATATTCAGGATTCATTGAATCCTGCAAATTATGTGATTGAGGTCACAGTGTTTTGTCATCATGAAGACATCATAGGTTAATAAACTGAATCACAGTCAACCAAATTAAATAGCAGTTGAAGTATAGAATCATAGAATCATAGGTCTGGAGGTCTTCTACTCCAAAGTAAGTCCTACTCCAACCCATGCCCAAGGCAGAAATCCTTATACCATCCTGGACAAATGGTTGTCCAAGTGAATAATCTCCCAAACTGTATTAAATGGAAGCAGGAAATAATTAAAAATTAATTAAAAGGTACTGATCAGCTTAGAATATTAAACATTTGGTAAAATATGTTTCCACAAAGATAATTTATTGTCATTAAATGTGTTCTTTTTAAATAAACATATTTGTCTACATTGCCATTCTTCAATAGATATTGGAAGAGAGCTTGTGGACAAAAATACCAGGCATTCTCTGCCTGAGCAACACGGAGCCCAGTTAACATTCTTTTGCTCTTTTGTTTTTGGTGGAAAAATAAATCAGCTTTCAATTCTTTACCTGGTGCCCTGCTTGTTTTTGCATATGAATTACATATCATTTGTAGAATAAATTAAAGTCAATTGATTAATAAAACAGTAAAAAATTGGAGATTGGTTAGCTGGCCTGTATAGAAACCATATTTTTTAAAATGCTTATCAGGAGATTTGTACAAAATGATAAATCAGAAATCCAGCAGAGTAAAACCAAATCAATCATTTTTGTACACTTGTTTTTTAATACTACTAAATGTAGTATTAAACTATGATTTGGAATTTTATACATTCTTAACTTTGGCAATTATATATTTTATTTAATTTTAGTTTAATTTATTGCCTCACAGTCTGCAGGCACTGAGCAGGACATTTACAGTACTGCTTAGTTTGCCAGGGGAAGAGATATATAGCTAGGTATCATCAGTATCTGAAGATTCATCACCCCACAACAACAAATGGACTCCCCCAAGGACTTCATGTACATGTTAGATAGGTGTGGAGAGAATACTGAACTCCATGGAACACCATATAATATGGACCAAAGGCAAGACTTCTAATTCCCAAACACTGACCGGTGCTGCAGAAAGGAAGCAAACTCTCAGCTACTCTTTGGCACAAATGCAGGGAGAAAATAAGACACTCTTCGCTTCAGTATTTAGTAACACAAAAGCTTACTGTTTATTCCTTCCTCCACAAGGAGTCTAACATAATAGCTAAGCAAACAAAATAAAGTTGGATCTAACCCGAGTTTCCCAGAACTCAATATTTATAATAATTTCCCCTCATTACCCCATTACCTTTATTACCCATGATTATCATTTTTAATGATAATTATTCGTATGAACTCAATCACATGAATTGTGGTTAATGCGTAGAGCTTCACATCACAGCATTTTACATAGACCGCGCATCTTATTATGATACAGAGTTTATTCTGATGAAGAGAAATGCCATCTTTCAGGTTGCTGTGGCTTCGATTCAAACGTGTGTGTTGTGTAGTCGCGACCACAAACTAGCACAATACTGTACTTCTCACTCACAACCATGGAGCCAATCCAGAAGGATACCATGGTCAATGTTCGTCAAGGCTGCTGAAAGGCTGCTGAGACCTAGGATAGATGCACTATTCCATGCTGCTGGTGCCAAAGGACATTCAAAAGTGTAACTCCATTCCATGCCCAAGACATAATACTGATTGAAAGGGGTCCAAGTAACCCACTTCATTCAAGCTGGTGCACAATCACCCTCTCACAGCTTTCCTTTGGGAGGTTAGACACCAGACAAAGGTTGCTCAGTATGGTGGTATCCAGGAATGTTTTTTTGAGGAGGGGGAAAACTAAGGGGCAGTAGAACAATTATGGAATTAACCTCCACCAGAATCTAACTACACAATATCCCCAGGCAGATTTAATTAGCCACGAAAACCTAAAGCAGATCCTTTGTGTATGGTTTGAAATTCTTTCCAGGTTTCTTGCTACTTTGCATGAGTTATTTGCCTTAACTTTTAAATATGTTCTTCCTTCCGTTAATTTCTCAGCATCTCCATAATCTCTCATACATCTTTTATTATTTCTTAACAACATTGTCTGTGGACCAGTTTTATTTTCCTTGGGAAAGAACTGAAGGAGCATTAAAGTCCCTATTCCTGGTCAGATTCATTATATCAGTGGTCCCCAGCCATTCTGGCACCAGGGACCAGTTTTGTGCAAGACAATTTTTCCATGGATGGACAGAGGAGAGGGGGCTGGTTTCATATGCAACCTAGATTTCCTGCGTGCATAGATAAAGCTTTGCTTGCTCGTCTGTTACTTGTGCGGTCCAGTTCCGACAGCTATGGACCGTACTGGTCCACAGCTCAAAGGTTGGGGATCCCTGCACTATATGACACCAGTCCCCAATCTTTTTGGCAGCAGGGACTATTTTTCGAAGAAAAATTGTTCCCCTCATTTAGTTTTAGTAAAGCACTTTAAATTCTAACACTGTAAGTGATGCAGAAAAACGTTCTCTATCCAAACTATGTTTGAATGTATGTCTCTCTATGTGTGTGCGTGCTTGCATGTCTCTCCTTATATCGTGTCCCTTCAGTGCATTGGATATACATAATCCAATGCAGTGCATTGGATGATGAATAATCTTCAGGATTAATAGTGAAGTCCTTATTTCATTAATTAATCCACTCTAAATACTAAAATACTGAATGATATAATGAATGATTAGTTGCATAATGTTCTCTAAGTGAATCCAGTGGGAATCTTGCCACTGACTTCAATTAAATCCAGACATTGAATTAATAAAAAATTAATCAAAGAGTGTGCTATTCAATGCTCTCCATCCATCTGTTGACAATTCCATGTTGAACATAGCATTTAAAAGATGTTTTAAATTATCACACATAGCTTGTTCTAACAATAATTTTGATGCTTGCTAGCCTATGGAGGAAAAATCAGTGCAGATGTCCCAAAGGTGCTTTTTCAAGAGGCAACTGGACTTTGTTTTTTTTTCCGAAGAAGTTTCATTTCTCTTCCAAGAAGCTTCTTCAGTTCTGACTCCTTTGAATCCTTCCATTCCCCACCATCCAGTCAGAGCTGAAGAAGCTTCTTGGATGAGAAATACCTTTGTAGACATATCTATTCATAGAAGCAGATATCAATACTGAACAATATTGATGTGATGGAATATTTGGTTGACTTTGGATGCTTGGAAAACAATCAGAGACATAGTAGCTCCCAATGGCTTATTGGTCAGAAACAGAAACTTGGAAATACCTGTCTTAATGGATCAAGTAGTTAAAAGTTGTGGCAGGAAGTTTGTACCTTCAGATTGCAAACTTATGTTCATGTAGCAGTAGAACTATTGTAAACTCATCGTGTTTCCTTTTGGTTTACATGGGAGAGTTAAAATTGACATTGTAGTTACTTATTACTGGCTTTCTTCTTCAAAGATCTCCTTTAAAGTTTCTGATGTTATAACATTTTGTGCCATTTTGTAAGTCCCAATATAAACTGACATTAAGAATAAGCCTGTATTTTTTTCTTCCTCTTAGAATCTTTACTCCCCTCTAGTGTCTAGTTTCTAGAATCATCACTTATTTTTGTTATGGTTTACAATAGCCAGGATAGCAAAAAGCTATTTCCTACAAAAAGCTATTTTTATAGTTAATTCTAAGATATTAAAGTAAAAGTAATCAAAATTTATATGGTTTGTTAGTCATTTATAATATTCTTTTATCAAAATCTTATTTAGTTTTTCTGTTTATTTCAAATGCTTTCTTAAGTTTATAATTAATTGTTCTTTTATTTAGAGTGGAAGATAAACTTATCCAATAAAGACTTTTCAAACGTAACATTCTGAAGATTTCTAATAAAGCTATTACAAAGTCATTTCTGAAAGTGATTCGAGATTACGGGTTGCAAATATTAAAAGAATCTGCCAAGGTTGAGAGCAAGATGGGATATTCCCATCATCGCTCAGTGATCAAATACTTTACATGGAAAACCACTGTCCTATAGTCTCCACACAAGGTACAGCCATCTGGAGCACATGTGAGGGGTATCTGTTGGGTATATGGATACACCAACTGGTTTGGGTGAATGAATATATA